TTTATTTTGTTTTTTGAGACAGGGTTTCTATGTGTAACAGCCCAGGCTGTCCTGGGACTCACTTTGTAGACCAGGCTAGCCTTGAACTCACAGAGATCCTCCTGCTTCTGCCTCCTGAGTTCTGGGATCAAAGGCGCGCGCTATCACCACCACCACCACCCACCATTTGTATAAAATCTTAATCTATATTTAAAATACCTAAATTTCAGTCTGAGGCAAAGACTTAACTTCTTAAAATTGAGGGATGCACAATCATGAGTAATTTTAAGACATTAAGAATCATGAAATTGTTATTGGTTTTTAATTTTCACTATTTTTAAATATTAATCTGTAGTTCTAATAGTGAATTGTTATTTATCACTTTAACACATCAATGTTTTCGAAAGAACTCAGGAAATAAGACATATAAAAAGACAAGTCTGTTTAAACTTGATTATCTGGCTTTACACTTAATGCCATTTGGTCTGGTAAATTATTCTGGATTGTTTTATTTTTATTATTTACTTATTTATATTATTATTATTTTGTTTTTTCAAGACAGGGTTTCTCTGTATAGCTCAGTCTGTCCTGGAACTCATCTGTAGACCAGACTGGCCTTGAACTCACAGAGATCTGCCTGCCTCTGCCTCCCAAGTACTGGGATTAAAGGCATGAGCTACCACCATCTGGCCAGATAGTTTTAAAAACAAGGTTTTCAGGATCTGGGGGCGGGGGGCAAGTAGCACACACCTTTAATCTCAGCATTCAGGAGGCAAAGGCTGGTGGATCTCTGCTTTTGAGGCCCGGGTTATACAGTGAGAACTGTGTCTTAGTTATTTTTATATTGCTATGGAGAAACCATGCCCAAGGCAGCGTACAGAAGAAAGCATTTAATTGGGGGCTTGCTTACAGTTTCAGAGGGTGAGTCCATGATCACCATGGCAGAGAGCATGGCAGCAGGCAGGCAGGTGGGCATAGCACCGGAACAGTGCTGAGAGTTCACATCTTGACCCACAAACAGGAGCAGAGAGAGACACTAGGAATGGAGTAGGCTTTTGACACCTCAAAGTCACCTCAGTGGTAACATCTCCTCCAACAAGGCCGCACCTCCTAATTCACCCCAAACAGTTTCACCAACAGGGGACCAAGCATTCAAACGTATGAGCCTCCAGGGGCCCTTCTCATTCGGACCACCGCACTAGAACTCACGTTTTTCTGATGCATTCTATTTTTGGGGTTCTGGGGTAAACATTGTTACTTTCAATTGATTGGCTTTAGTGTTGGGAAGCAAACCAAGGGTCTTACATATGCCAAGCACAAACTCTTTCACTAGGCTACACCCATAGACCCTACTTTCAATTTAATTTGATCTGGATCATTTGGGACAACCCAAAAAAAGATGAAACCTAAAGACTCTAAACTTCATGGGATTTTAAAAGTGGAAATGACCTTAATATAAAATTTAATTCTGCTTCCCATTTTTTGGTAGAAGATATATTTCAAACTAATGTAATTTTTTATAAATTTTGTTTAAATCTAAACATAAAACAAACTCACACTACCTACATTTTTTTTTATTGTTTTTTGTTTTTTGAAACAGGGTTCCTTTGTGTAGCTTTGGAGCCTGCCCTAGAACTAGATCTGTAGATCAGGCTTGAACTCAAACTCATACAGATCTGCCTCCTTCTGCCTCCCGAGTGCTGGGATTAAAGGTGTGCACCACCACTGCCTGGCCACACTACATTTAACTGTTTTCTGCCATGTACCTTTCAACCTTCTATAGGAAATATGAGTAAACCAGTTATTTGTATGAATACTTTTATAACATAGTGCTGAGGATCAGAATGCACAGTCTAGTACTGTACAAATTGAGTTAACACCCCTAGTCTAACATGAGAACCTTAATTAGGAGAAAAACAATGGACTTTTATGATTTGGACTTTGAATACTTAATAGAAGCATAAAATAGGAACTGCAAAAGGCCACCTGGATCCAGGCAGAGGAGCAAAGTTCTTCTTCTTCCTATGCTCTAACCATCTCTTTTTCTCTCTGAAGTACTCTGTATCTTTCCAGATACTTGGACCAGTGGGATGAGGTTCCTCCCTATCAAGAGCATGCATGGAAGAAAAGGATTTTCTCATCATTTCAAGACTACACACGTAGGCCAACCTCAACCAATACAGTACAGGGCTGAGGATGTAACTCAGAGAATCTGCCTGGTTCCTGGTGATGGATCTCAAGTTGCTACAAAAAAAGAAAACAGTGCAATAGCAACAGGGAGAAACACCTGGAATGTTCCTAAGAGATGAGATTCTTAAGGTTTTTAAAAATTATTGTTGTTTGTGCATATATAATGTATGTACGGGCACACAGGCACCACACTGCCTGTGCGCAGGGCTGAGGACCATTTTTAGAGTGAGTTTTTTCCTTCCACTGTGGGTCAAGGGGTCAGTTTTAGTCACTGAGCCATCTTTCTGGCCTGATATGGTATTTTCATGTAATACTTACTTTATTCTTTTTACTTATGTTTATGTGGGATGCGTGTGTGTGTGTGCCTGTGTTGAGTTTATGTGCACCACATGTGTGCAGGTGCCCATGGAGGACAGAGGGTGTTGGATCCCCCAGAACTGGAGTTACAGGTAGTGGTGAACCTCCTAAGGTTGGTGCTGGGGTCCTCTGCAAGAGCAGTAAGTGCTCTCAACATCTGAGCTATTCCTTCAGCCCTGAAGTGAGATACTTCCTAAAAATACCAAATCAAACCAACCAACCAAACAAACAAACAAAAATGCCTGCTGTTGCCCAACATAGTGGCATACACCTATAATCTCAGTAATTGGGAGGGGAAGGGCAGACTGGCCTATAGAATGATACATGTAGTAGATTATTTTAAGGTGTGTTACTTTTGTTTATGTTGCATTTGTTTAACTCTGTGAAGCTGTGTTACTGTGCCTGTCTAAAACACCTAATGGTCTAATAAAGAGCTGAATGGCCAATAGCGAGGCAGGAGAAAGGATAGGCAGGGCTGGCAGGCAGAGAGAATATATAGGGGAAATCTGGGCCTATTATTGAAAAGGAGGAGCCAGAGAATGAGGATTATCAGGAGTCAGCCACCCAGCTACACAACCAGCAGTGGAGTAAGAATAAGATTTACAGAAGTAAGAAAATAGGAAAAGCCCAGAGGCAAAAGGTAAGTTAAGGAAAGCTGGCTAGAAACTAAGCCAAGCTAAGGCCAGGCATTCGTAATTAAGAATAAGCCTCCGTCTGTGATTTATTTGGGAGCTGGGTGGCGGGCCCCCCAAAAGGATTAAAAAAACAACAGAAACAGGGACACTCATAACAAACAGTAACAAAAAGATCCTGTGGGGTATGGTGGTGCAAGCCTGTTTCTCAGCAGTCTAGAGGCTGATGCAGAAGGATCTAGAGTCACAAACAAGTAAGCTCCTGTCTCAAAAGATATCTACACATTTTTTTGTTTTTGGGTTTTTTTTTTTTGTTTGTTTTTTGAGACAGGGTTTCTCTGTGTAGATTTGCGCCTTTCCTGGAACTCAATCTGTAGCCCAGGCGGGCCTCGAACTCTCAGAGATCCGTCTGCCTCTCGGGAGAGTGCTGGGATTAAAGGCGTGTGCCACTACCACCCGGCAGGAATCTACACATATTTTAATAATTATTTGCTAAGTACTGTTAGGTATCAACATAATTTCCAAGTAAGTCTCACCTATGGAATCTGGGTTTTAAAGATAAATTGTCAAACTTGAACAATCGTAAAAATTCATGTTGTTCTTTTTTGTGAGTGTACATAATATATGGACATAATCTAGTGTGCCTTTGGTTCATTTTCGATGATTTCTTTTGCCACGTAAAATAAAAACAAATTCAATTTTTTATTTTAAAATAGAATTTATTTAACACTGTAGTAAACTCAATACACGAAAAGTTGTTTTTCTTATCAGAATTGGCACATAATGAAGAGAGCTTAACTTACTGAAAAATTAACACTCCAAAAATGTAAGTCTTAAATCATGCTCCATAAAAAAGTAAAGCCTAGTAGTGTTATAAAAGTATCAATTTACACTAACTTACATAGAAAAGTATTAGAAAAAGAGTAAAAGAGTCCCATATACAAATCAATCACCTAAGAAGTAAAAATCCAATTATGTTTCTTAAAAAGGTACAAGGGGGGAAAGAGACAAAGGCTACTGAATATACTCACTTGTCCTACTGGGAAGTTGCAGGCTAACCAGACAGACTTTAGGTACTTTTTAAAATGTATGTCTCAAAGGAATAGCAAAGCTGTTTATAATATTTTTGTTTGTTTGTTTGTTTGTTTTCAAGACCGGGTTTCTCTGTGTAGCATTGCGCCTTTCCTGGAACTCGCTTTGTAGATCAGGCTGGCCTTGAACTCAGAGATCTGCCTGCTTCTGCCTCCTGAGTGCTGGGACTAAAGGTGTGAGCCACCACCGCCCAGCTGTTTATAATATTTTTAATGCCTAGTCAAAACCACTATGTAGCCAACTGGCCATGTACTACAACCTTGAGTTGATTCAACCCATTCTTCTTATTCATGGAAAACTACAAAAGCTTCTTTAAGTACTGTAGTCTATCAGCCAGGAAGACAACTAACTCCCAGCTCTGAAAGTTCACTGACTGGAATCAAGCCAAAGTTCTAGAGAATCAGCTTAAAAGATTAGCTATGTTTTCATCAAGTGTCCAATTTCCACTTCTACCTAGAGCACACGCTGAGGAGCTGGACATGCTGCTCAGTGGTACAGCACTTGCTCAGAGCATGCAAAGCCCTGGATTAGAGCCTATGACTGAAAAATAGCTTTAAAAATGTGGACATTGGCCAGGCGGTGGTGGTGCACGTCTTTAATCCCAGCACTCGAGAGACAGAGGCAGGAGGATCTCTGTGAATTCCAGGACAGCCTGGTCCATAGAATGAGTTCCACGACAGCCAGGCTACACAGAGAAACCCTGTCTGGAAAAACAAAACAAAACAAAACAAAAAACTGTGGACACTGAAAGAGCAAAGAAAACTAGAAAGATCATTAGTATTTATTAAAAATATGCCATTGTACCAGAACCTGTCTGCACATGTAACTAAAACACATGAATGCCAGCAGCATACGGAACAAAAGTATCTTCCTTCAAAAGGGTATTAAAGTACATTCTACTATAAAGAAATTGCTAATTCAAAGTAAAACTTAGAAGCTGGAAGAAAATGCATTTAAGATCAATGATTTCTATTTGCTAAACCACCAATGTGGAACTTTCTAATAAGTATTTTATATTGCAATGTGCTAATAAATACAATATACTTTGTTTTTAAAGCATGTTCAAGGGGGGAAAAAATCCAACTTCCCTACCTCTTAAAAGTTACTGGTGTCAGGTAAGCAAGAGAGAAGGACATGACAAACTTTCAGAGTCAAATTTTCATCTCTGGTATCTATTCTTTTTTATTTCCAAGACCCAGTATTTGTGTATTTCATTTTCTCTAAGGAACTATTCTCGTCTGTGTTGCTAAGAGGGTTGTTTAAGTGCATACGAAATTGGCAGTCAGGCTAGAGCGACTCTAGGAAATTCTTTTTGTTATTTATAGCTACTCAGTCAGTTGTTTCATTGGCAGAGTTGGGGTAGGCACTTGGAACACGGGAGGCAAGCACTCCAACGCTGAGATACACTCCAGCTCCTGTGTAAGACTTTAACCACAACAATATGATGGTTGAGTAAAATACACTTGTTCCAAATAAGTCAGAATTTAGATGTGTTAATGTTTTTTTTTTCTGGAGCAATGGTTTAGATGAAGAAATATTAGTTACAAATTAATAAAACTAAATTATTTTTGAGAAATTGTGTTATTTCAACATAGCTTTAAAAGGACTAATTTTCTTTAACATTCTTCATAAAATGTAATTGGTGCTTTCGACTGTCACAGACTTGAATGAGGATGCAGATGTTAGTAAAACAGCTGTATTTTGGCAAGCATTTTATTGACATTGGAAGTGAAAGTACAGTTGGAATTGGAGAATGGCACTTAACTCATCTCTCATCAGATAGCTCACTTGCTGTAAACAGAAGACCCCACTCCTGGACTCAGTAGACAGAGGAAGCTGTGGTACAGCTTCCCTGTCATTTACTCAGCAAAAGTTAACAATTAAACAAGAGCATCAAATTGAACTTTAGTTCAAATATCAAAGGTCTAACCCATTTTTTTCAATCACTAGTTTTTACCTTTGAATAAGCTAAATTGGCCTTAACATGAAAGACTGGATTTGTTCACACAGCGTGTGCATTATTTACACAGAAATGCAAAATCCTGAGCTTTTGTAACAACTTGTCACTTGGTACATTTTTAAAGAAATTAAAATAATTTGAAAGATAATTTCACCTCTAATTTCTAGAAAAACACCTGAGATTTTGCAAAGAATGAGAAAATTATTTTTTTCAAGTTGCAAGTTAGCCAAGTGATAACTGCTCGAACCACTCATTTTGGAGGTGAGAAAACCGACGAACAAAAGTACATCTGTACTCTGAACAGCCCTCATCCCTCCAAGTCAGCAGTGCTCACTTATGGGAAAAGGGCTGGAAACTGACGATGGGAGAGGGTCAGGATGGTCGAGGCAAACAATAAGTTATAATATAGTATCTAATGGAATCAAATTTCAAAGATCAGAAAACCAAAATAAAACCTAGAGTAAGTACAGAAGTTTAATCCTTATCTTCAAGTAAATGGTGTACTGATATAAACTAGATTCAGTTTCTGTATCCTTCTAATGATTATTTCTATATATTATGTTTCCTTCTATCTAAAAAATAGTCTAATATAATACATATGCAGCCTGAAGTAATTTAGATCCTCAAGTTTAAAAAAGGGTTACAAGTTTTTAAAAACTTAAAACTACAAGGCTGGAGAGATGGCTCAGCATTTATAAGAGCTCTGGCTGCTCTTCCAGAGGACCTGGGTTCAAGTCCCAGGACCCATATGGCAGCTCACAGCCATCTGTAACTCCAGTCCCAAGGGATCAAACACCCTCTTCTGGTCTCCACAGGCACCAGGCCTGAATGTGGTGAACAGACAGACATGTATACAGGCAACACACCCATACACATGACATAAAAATAAAGGTAAAGGAAAAATTTAAACTATGAAGGGGTGTGTTTCTACGTGCTCCCTTGTGCAGGTTTTAAACCTTTACATGATATAAAGACCAATTTTTGCTGCTGAACTGCCTTCCTGCACAGCTTTAAGCAGTTATTCCTGCAGAGGGGTAAGATTTGCATAAATCTTTGATGAAAACATTTACTCAAGAAACTTGCTTTGATAATTATAAACAATCTATCCCTATCCTTATATTTCAGAGAAATGTTTTAGTAAGAAAAGTACAGGGGAGGGTCAAGGTGGCTTTTTTTTTTTTTAGAAAAATATAATGTATATAATACATTTGGAAACTACACAAACCCTATGTTTTTCATTGATTGTGAAGGCACAACTTTAACATAATTAAAAGAAAATGCATTTTCGCTATGTGTGATGAATTTTACCAGCTCATAAAAATAGATGGATTGACAAACATCACCGTGGCAAGTGTCTCCAATTTTCAGTTCAGATTTTGATTTAAAACTTGCTGAGCACGGTGCTGCCCAGCTATAGTCCCAGACATTTGGGAGACAGAGGCAGGAGGACAGTGAACTCTAGTCATGACTCTGTCTCAAAAAGCAAAAAAACAAACAAACAAACAAAAAACTCAAAAAACCACAAAACCAAAACATGGTGGTGGTGGCGGCGGCGGTCGGCAATTCTATTTGTAAAAATCCATAGCACATCATTGTAGGTCCACGTAATCACTGCTGCACGGACTGCCCATCAGTAGTCACTGGGCTCTCTTCACTTGTTGAATAGTCCTGGTGGTCCATCACCTAGGCATAAATAAAAGATATCAGGAAATGCAGATGTTAAACCAGCCTTCCAGTCTTCATTGATTTGGCCAAGTACTCTGGCTTTGTGTGATGCTTGTGTTTGTGTGTGTGTGTGTGTGTGTGTGTGTGTGTGTGTGTGTGTGTGTGTGTGGGCGCGCACATCTGGGTGAACAGGCACCCATGTGCACATGGATGAGGTTATCTTCCTCAGCTTCCAGGGTTCCTTCTATCTCTACAACCCATCCACACTTAGCTTTCTTTTCTTTTTTCCTTTTATTTTTTTTGAGATAGAGTCTCACTTATGTAGCCTGAAACTAACAGAGATCCACATGCCACATGCCTCTCTCTCCAGAGTGCTGGGATTAAAAGGCAAGTGCCAAGCTCGAGCTCTTCCACGTGGCTTTTTAAATGAGTGCTAGGCATCTGAATTCACACCTTCATGCCTGTTCAGGAAGCACTTTACAACCCAGCTATCTCCCCACACACCCTTTTCCCTTTTATTGAAAATAGATTCTTGCCGGGCAGTGGTGGTACAGGCCTTTAATCCCAGCACTCAGGAGGCAGAGGGAGGTGAATTTCTGTGAGTTCGAGACCAGCCTGATCTACAGAGTGAGTTCCAGGACAGGTTCCAAAGCTACACAGAGAAACCTTGTCTCGAAAAATCAAAAAAAAAGAGAGAAGAAAAGAAAATATTCTTTTCTCATATGATATATCCTGATCCCTTCCTCTATTTTCCCCTTCCTCTTTCCCCCCACTTCCTCCCTGCTTTCCTCCCCTCGGAATCCAACTGAGCTATCTCCTCAGCCACCTTATGCCCCCCTTTTTTAAATCCTAGCACTAAGGAGGCAAAGGCAGGCCAATCTCTGTGAGTTCGAAGCCAGCCTGGTCTACACAGTAAGTTGCAGGACAGCCAGTTACATAGAGAGACCTGATCTCAAAACCAAAAAAAGAGTAATCTTGGGGCAACAGCGAGATGGCTCGGAGAGGAAGAGCACTTGCTCTCCGTCTGGTCCCCAGCACCCACTCTGGTGAGATCACAACTGTATCTGACTCTAGCCCCGGGGAGAGCCTTAGCCTCTGGCTATCGTATCTGCACTGATGTGTATACGCCCACATACATACACATAATTCAAAGTCATAAAAATAAACTTTAAAAACCGAGGGACCTTATGAAGCCAAGCATTCCTTCTGGAACACTGTGTAGGTCAACATCATGCTTAACTTCTCAGAAGGATGAATTCTAAGACTCTCGGCCCATATGAATACTGCATTTTCTGGATCTTCCATTTATCTCTGTTTCCCAGTGTGAATACTGACTGCCCTTTGTAGCAGTGGGAACTCTGCTTCAAAAGACTGTACGAGGCAGTGAGCGCTTGTGTAAGTGGAAAACTAAAATGGTTCCAGAGCAAGTGTGCAAATGACTGCTGGCTGTGCAACCCTGTAACATTCTTAAGACAGTGTAAGAATAATATAGGAGGGGTTGGGGATTTAGCTCAGTGGTAGAGCGCTTGCCTAGCAAGCGCAAGGCCCTGGGTTCGATCCTCAGCTCAAAAAAAAAAAAAAAAAGAATAATATAGAAAGCTGCCCTTAATTCCAGCACTTGAGAGGCAGAGGAAGTCAGATCTCTACACAAGTTTCAGACCAATCTGGTCTACACAGCAAGTTCTAGGCAAGCCAGGGCTACACAGCGAATCTATCTCGAGACACAGGACACACGATACACTCACATGCCTCTCAGAACAAGCAAATAAAACCAACAAAAACCCCACCCCAACCACTCAAGCAAGTAAAAGAATGATACACAAAAGTTTGAAAATATTAGCTGGGCGGTGGTGGTGCATGCCTTTAATCCCAGCACTCGGGAGACAGAGCCATGCTGATCTCTGTGAGTTCGAGGCCAAGCTGGGCTACAGAGCGAGATCCAGGACAGGCTCCAAAACTATGCAGAGAAACCCTGTCTCAAAAAACAAAAAATGCAAACAAGAACACTTAAAATACCTGAAAACAAATCAAAGCAAATTCACTAACAGGATGTTTTAAAGGCATTACAAGAGAATTTTTTTAACTTCAACTCTACCCATATTCTATAAAAAATGATTTGAATATTTGGAAATGCAGAAAAGGAAGTGCTTAAATATTTCAAATCTTTTTACCCTGTTCTTCAGATAAAATTACTTCAAAATAGAAAATGTGATCTCTTTGTAAAAATTGTCAAAGACTTTTAGACCAGTTAATGACTAGATTTCAGTATCATTATATATGTTTTCCTTTTTCATTATTGAGAATAAGATAGAAAAGCCAGAGATACAAATGTCCCTATTTTTTTTAAAGATTCTAAATACTTCACTTTTTTTTTTTTTTTTTTAAGAAGGAGGGATTATTGCACATGGAATTTCTGGACTTGCCAAGTAAGAGTGCCTCTAAGCTGAGGCTTTCAGCTGACAGGCACCTCAACCAATGGGGACACTTGGAGTGAAGACCACCTGTCAGTAACCATGGCTAGCAAAGGCCACAGCCATTTATTTGGCCCTTTACCTGTCAAAGACAACACCTAGATTAAGGCAGTTTCATGTTCATAACGCCTCTAGGAAAAAAAAATTCACAGGATGGGGATATAAAAGGATTGCTTAGCATATGGGAGTCCTGAGTTCCCGGAAAAAAAATTCAAAGGATGAGGATATAAAAGGGATTGCCTAGCATATGGGAGCCCTAAGTTCTTTTTACAGCATCACAAAAATACACAATAAACTTAAATGATTTTAAAAATGGATAAAAGCCAATCAAGATAGGTAACATTAAGCATTCCACAACATGAGACATAAGGTTAAGTTGTGAAATAGTTGATTTTAGTCACATTTAAAATTATAGACAGACACATAGAGATACATTTAGGGCCAGAGCTGCGGGAGACCTGAAGCAGCCATGAGACAGGATGGTAGGGGGTGGCGAAGACACAACACTTTTCTTCTCTGTGATCTGTGCATCTGGCAACCGTCCTGAAGAGTAAGAGCTATGTACCCAGCATTATAACAGGCTTCTTCTTTCCTAATTCTTAGGTATCACATCGGGCTCTATAATCCCAGCCCTAAATATAGACATATAATTAATATATCAGTCATGGTAGTACATGGCTGTGATACTGGCATGCAGGAAGTTGAGGCAGGAGGAGTCTGAGTTTTGGGCAACCTAGACTGCACAGTGAGACACCCTCCCTGTGTTCCAAAAAACAAAGCTAAAAACAAAGCTAAAAAACAAAACAATTTCAAAGTCTAATTGAAAAGTTATCATTTCTACTTCCTATTCTCTAAGATTTCAGCAAAAACAATAGAGAAGCACACAGAACAAACATAAAGGTCAAGTATTTAAAAATTCAACAAATCAAGACAACAAATAAAATTAACTAGCAAAATCAGGATTTCACATTTGTAAACAGGCAATCTGTTTGAAAAGTTGTCCTTTGAAACTCGGCCAGCTAACCTGGCATTTTCAGAGCTCTACCAGTTTAGAACTGATCTCTGAAAACTGCCTAATAAATTAACCTGAGTAACTGGAGCTCCTGGTCCTCAAGCAGTCACTGTAAGTAGATTTGTATCCCGACTCGTGACTTACAGCTTGTGACTTCTAAAAATAATTACAAGTACTAGTGACATTAACAGACACACTGTTCCGGGGCGTCCACAAGCTGAGAACATCAGGGTAAACAGCTTGTCTGAGGCTACTGCAAGGATCTTATTCCACTTGATTCACTATTAAGACAAAACACCATCCCACAAATGCTACGCTCTATTTCATTTTATCTCTAAGGAAAAACAATCATTTATTCACTCTACATTAATTAGAACTAAGGCTTCAAGTGAAGTCAGATGAGCGGAACCGAATACTGGAGCTCTAGAAACATCCAGAAAAGAAACTGAACTGGCCTTGAAGCTATAGAAAAGAATTTGTAACTGATTTTTTCCAAATTCCTATTATTTTAATCAAACTGTAGAAAAATCTTTCTTCATTTGCTGAGAAATTCACAAAAGAGAGTGAAAAATTCCAAGTCAAGTACTACAGCACTTAGGTGTCCTCAGCACCTTATGCTACCAGGGCCACCAGAGCCATTAAAAATAGGTTATGGCTAAATGTACAGCGCCTGCTTGGCATGTGTGAGGCCCCAATCCCTTTGTGCCTGCTCCCAACACCCCCTGAACAAGTCTCCAGGGGAAAGTCCTACCCTTTGTTCCTTAATTTAACTGCAAGTTAAGATTCCCTTATCTGAAATACTTGGAACTGAAAGTGTTTCAGATTTTGAAAAATTCTGGTATGTTTGCCTATCCATAGAGAGATTATTTTGAGGATAGGATGCAAACATGAAACTAACTTATATTTCACATACAACTCACACACAGAAGTAATTTCACACATTATTTTTAGTGCACTTGTATTTTGACTGTGACTCATCACATCAATTCAGGTGAGGGGTTTTTCTACTTGTGGCATGATGACCCCACTTCTGTCTAAGTTCCTTTCCTTTTGCTGTGACAAAACAGCACAACCCAGGCAATTTACAAAAGAAAGCGTGTAACTGGGCTTACAGTTTCAGAGGGGTAGCGCCCATGATGGGGGAGCAAAGGTATGGCAACAGGAACAGCTGAGGGCTCCCATCTTGATTCACGGTAGGAGGCAGAGGGAGAGCTAACTGCCTGGCTCCACTGACACACCTCCAACAAAGCCACACCTCCTAATCCTTCCCAAACAGATCCATCAATTAGGGATCAAGCACTCAAGCACAGCACCTATGGGCCATTTTCATTCAAACCACCACACCTCTGATCTCAGATCTTACAACATTGTGGATTTGGGGCTAGGTATGTCTAACCTTGTACTCAACACAGAGCACACCTTTATCCCAGCACTTGGGAAGACAGAGGCAGGCAGGTCTCTGTAACTCCAAGGACAGCCTGGTCTACAAACCAAGTTCTAGGACAGCCAAGGCTACAGAGAGAAATCCTGTCTCAGAATCTTGGAAAGCCAAAAAAAAAAGAAAAGAAAAGAAACTTGGATGGTCCAGTGCAGAACGTATGGTCATGACAAATATGAGTACTCACTGGTGGAATTCCTTCCATATCCAACCACCATCCCCTCTCAATAGCATAGTAGAAAGAGAAAATAAAATGCTAGAAGAAACTAGAGAAATATAGAAAGAGTAGATCTCCAAAGAAATGTAGCATTAATGCTTCTATGTATACAGCAATTCTAAAATAATCAACTAATTCCAGTACGAGATAGCATAAAAAGACATGGAATTGCTCAAGGTAGCTGTCCCTCCTGAAAGACTGGGAGAGGGTTAGGGTAGTTTAAAAGGGCCTTCCGCTTGATTTGAGACACTTGTTTTTCTTTCTAAAAAAATATTTATTTCTTTTTATTTTGTATGTATGAGTGTTTTACCTGTATGTATGTTTACGGGTTGGATCCTCTGGAACTGGAGTTAAGGACAACTGTGAGACACCACATGGGTGCTGGGAACTATACTCAGGTCCTCTATAAGAACAGCAAGTGTTCCCAACCATTATGCTATCTCTCTAGCTCCTGTATATTTTTTTTTAAGATTTATTTTATCTTTAATAATGTATCTGTGTGTGGATATGTGCACGTGAGTGTAGGAACCTTTTGAGGTGTGCAGATCCCCCAGAACCAGAATTACGGGCAGTTGTGAGCTGCTTGGATCGCAGTGCTGGGAAATGAACTGTGGTCCTTCGGAAGATCAATTCACGCTCTGAACTCTCTCTCCAGCCCCACTTTCGTATTTCTTGTTTGAAAAAGAAAAAAATGAGGGCGGGAAATATGGACCAGTGGTTAAGAGCACTTGTTGCTCTTCTAGAGGACTCTGAATTTGGTTCCTAGTATGAACCTGTAACCTCTCCTTCAGGGATCTTCTAGCCTCTGCAGGTACCACCCCACTGAGCATAAATACATCTTAAATATTTTTTAATTAAAAATACAAGCACAAGCTGAGCAGTGGTGCCAGACTTTTATAATCACAGCACGCGCAGGAGGGCCAGGCAGGAGGAAGGACTACTGAAGTCCAAGGTTATCAGGCACTACACTTGAGTTTCCGAGTGAGACCCTGTCTTGAGACCCAAAACTAACCAATAAAGAAATATATATTACTTTGTAATTAAAACACACAGAAAGAAATTACTGAAGTGAAAACAGTCTATAGACAGACTTCTGGAACATTAGCTGCCAATGACGTTAACTTACATTCACTAAGCATAACAAAGAAGACCAGATGTGCTGTAGTGAACATCTTTTCATGTCCATTTTACCATTTCCCAGAAAACTCCTTAAGAAGAAATGTCTGGGTAAAAAACAGCATATAAAATTTTTTTTCTCTGTGCAGCTCTGGCTGTCCTGGAACTCACTCTGTAGACCAGGCTGGCCTCAAACTCAGGGCTTCACCTGCCTCTGCCTCTGCCAAGTGCTGATATTAAAGGTATGTACCACCACCACCACCCAGTGAATATTAATATACAGCCAGAAAAAGATTTTTTTACAAGAAATTATAAATGAAATACATAAAAATAGTGAGAAAAGGGAAGCTAGGAACCACTGACAGGATCATTTAGCAGCCTAACCATCCCTCTACAGAAGGCAAAAGGAAGTTCACTACCCTAGTGTGGTGGTTTGAATAGGAATGACCCCCCAAAGACTCATGTGTTTGAATGCTTGGCCTATAGGGAGTGGCACTATTAGGAGGTGTGGCCTTGTTGTAGAAAGTGTAGACTTGCTGGAGGAAGTATATCATTGTGGGAGTGGGCTTTGAGGTTTCCTATGCTCAAGCTATGCCCAATGTGGCAAACAGTCTCCTTCTGCTGCCTGCGGATCAAGATGTAGAACTCTCAGTTCCTTCTCCAGCACCATGTCTGCCTGCACACTGCCATGCTTCTAGCCATGACGATAATGGACTAAACCTTTGAAACTGTAAGCCAGCCATAAATTAAATGTTTCCTTTCTAAGAGTTGCCATGCTCATTGGCAATAGGAACCATAACTAAGAAAAGGTCTTTCATCCATACTCAACACTAGAGCTCCCCTAAGCTCAATTCAGTACCCAGAACATGCCAGCTTTCTTTGCTTGGAACTTCTGAAGACATGGTTCTTTTAAGATGAACATATGCCCAGTTTTAAGTGAGGTTTAACAGTTTTTAGAATCCCTTCTCCAAATCACCCATTAACTTGCCTGAATCCGTGGCCCTAGATGTCCCATCCCTAGGCAGCATGACATTTTGCCATTATCAATGCATTCATCACACTTTATTGCTAGTGACCCTGTCTGCATTTCTTAGTAAGTTTCACAAGGCAACAGGAGGAGGACTGCTTGTAACTTGTTCATCCTGTAGAGTCAATAATGAAATCATACTTACCCCATAGAACTATTCAATAAATAGTCATTAAATGCAGAACTATAAAACTATTAAAAAGCATAAAAAGCGCCGGGCGGTGGTGGCGCACGCCTTTAATCCCAGCACTCGGGAGGCAGAGCCAGGCGGATCTCTGTGAGTTCAAGGCCAGTCTGGGCTACCAAGTGAGTTCCAGGAGAGGCGCAAAGCTACACAGAGAAACCCTGTCTCGAAAAACCAAAAAAAAAAAAAAAAAAAAAAGCATAAAAAGCCATTTTGAGGATAAGACATTCAAAATTTAGCAGTAGTTTAGGATACACTTTATCTTACTAAATAAAAGGTTGACTAAAATAGAGTCTCTAACTTGCTATGTGTTTGAGGTTGGCCTTGAACTCCTCCATCTCCCAAGATTTGAGATTACAGGTGTGGGCCACTATACATGACTCAATACTCTTATTTAAACACACACACACACACACACACACACACACACACACACACACACACACCCCTATCATATGGGAGCTCTAGGTTTGATCTCCAGCATTGGGGAAAAAATTGATGTGGGTGTCATCTTCTGGGAAAAATTATCAGCTATCTTACTAGTATAATGAAGGTCTTTGTGACCATAAATACCTTCTATATACATTAATGCAGGCTGAGCCAATAGCACTGATAAGAAGGCAAAGTAGGTATAATTATTATTTAAATCTCAGAAAGAAATTGCAATATTTACCGGAAAGAATTCTAAACCAGTGCCTTTTCCAATTATAGAAGCCTGTAATATAATGCTGGCCATCTCTTCTTAAACACTACAAAGGATGGTGGGAGATATTAATTGCTTCTCCGGTAAGAACACTTGCAGCCACCTACTCCAGGTTTCACTCTGTTCACGTGACTACTGATACCCATGCATGAGGGCAGATGAGGGGGGCAGTTCACTTTACTGGAACAAATCAGAAATAAGTGCTTTAGAAAATGCCTCTGGGAAGGAAGGGGTCAGTGCCGTGGCCTAAGTGAGTAGGAAAGGGATTCTCAACTCTATTCAGTTTCAATGCAAACCAATTTTTGAAAGAAAAAGGAGTTGGGGAGGTAGAAGGGCTTTTTACCTCTATTGAAAAATAACTCAACAGATTCTAAAATTATGATTTTCCTTGTTATAGGAATTTTAAAGAAAGGACAATCTGGATCCATTTAAGCCTGACATGAGTACCCAACTGGAGTTAGTTTGCTACATTTAAATGCTGGAAAGAACGTGTATTTTCATTTTCAAAACCTCAGGTCTCTTACTACCAACTTCCACTGTCGGTTTCAACGTTCCACATTTATTCTACATAGTTCCATTCTGCGTGGTGTTTATGGGGACCTGGATACATGCCGCAGTGTTCTGCTTCCCCAACGTCCTGCCACAGTAACTTTGAAGGGCCTCAGCACTCACTTCCAGTGGGTACGGAGAACCCAAGCCGCAGCAGGCAGATACCAATATGGGAGAACAGGAAGAATTCGGGGCATCCTGGGGTTACGTTAAGTTTCTGACACAGAAAAATTTGCTATAAATGAGCTATAGCACAACAGCCAGTGAATTGCAAAGTATAAGCACGTACCTGATAGCTGCTACCTTTCCAGAACTTTCTCATCTCCTTACGACTCCAGGCCACGACTGAGGCAGCAAGAAGCGTGCAGGGAACTAAGTAGAGGAGAGCAGGCTGCCCCTTCTTCATCAGCACCAGGACAACAAATGTAATTATCATGCCAACAGCATAGGCTGTGGGAACACAGAAGCAAGGTCAGTCCTTCCTTCCCCACTAAAATATCAGTTTTCAAATATTTCTCAAGACATCTTTAGGTAAGACCTATTTTTAAAATTCTGCGTTTGTATCTGTGTGTGGATTCGTGACTGTGGGTACAGGTTCCTGAGGTTAGAGGTGCCGGAGGCCCGAGAATTGGTGTTATAGGCAGATGAGCCGCCTGTCGTGGGTGTTGGGCTTTTGCATTTGCCTGCCGCTCCAGCTCCAAGAGGGCCTCTTCGGGCATTTGCATCACCAGAGGCACACATATACACACAATTAGAAAGAAATCAAATCTTAAGATTGCTCCAATACAGACTACAGACTTCCTTAACAAGTACATATCAAACATCATTTGGATGTTTCCTGCTGATCTGGGATGCTATATGAATGCAGGCTTTCATTACTTTTCTTTCCATATTTCTTACTTTGACTGCTTCTCATATCTGACTGACTGGCAGTGGCTGCCCGGCTTCTGGCCCTGGAAGCTGCAAAGACCTTTACAGGTAATTTAGTCCAGCTACATAATGTAAAGATGAGATGACAGAAGATCAGGGAGGTTGAGTGAGCTGCCCAAAGTCACACAGCAGAATTGACAAATACTCTGCCTTTTCACTGAGCATTCTTGACTCCATCATGCTGACTGGTACTGTGTTGTGGAAATTACTTTAACTGTGTAAAGGTGTGTTACTTTTGTTTATGCTCCATTTGTTTAACGATGTAAAGATGTGTGTTTATTATGTAAAGATGTGTTGCATTTGTTTTACCTTGCCTGCCTAAGGCATCTGGTTGGTCTAATAAAGAGCTGAACGGCCAATAGCTAGGCAGAGAAAGGACAGGCAGGGCTGGTAGGCAGAGAGAATAAATAGGAGGAGAAATCTAGGCTCAAAAAAAGAGGAAAAGGAAGAAGAAGAGAAGGAGGAGGAGAGAGTGAGGGAGACACCCGGGGCCAGAAACCAGCTAGCCAGATACGGGAAGCAGTCAAAGAGATACAGAAAGAAAAGTAAAAAGCTGCAAAGCAAAAGGTAGATGAAGAGAAACACGTTAATTTAAGATAAAAGAACTAGCCAGAAAGGACCTAAGCGAAGGCCAAGCATTCAAAACTAATAATAAATCTCTGCGTCATGATTTGGGAGCTGGTTGGTAGCCAAAAAGAAAAAGCTGGCACAGAGGAGGATGTTACTGCCATTAGCAGATGCTGTACTTCCTGCCTCAGGCCTCTTTTCTTGTTTCTATAGAGAGCATCTGTTTCCCCTTCCCTCCTCCTCCCTCTCTTCTTTCTCTCCTTGCTTCCCCTGGTCCTCTCTGCACTCCCCTCCCCCACCTAGCTTTCTTTCATGCTGTTGGGGTTCCCATTTATACTGTCATCCTTCTCTACTAACGCAGAGACTGAACTCTACGTGGACTAGAAAGCCTTGTAGGGAGTCTGTGGCTCGGGCTCGGGCTCAGGCCATTTGCTCAAGCACTCAGAGCTTCTGGTGCATGGATGTTGAAATACCCATTTAGAATATTCAGAGATGGCAGAGCTTTTTCTTTGAAATTTCCCATTGTTAACATTTCAATAACAGAAACAGAAGTGATGACTGCCCTGCTGTACCAGGTAACTAACAACTTACAACAGTAATTCATTTATATAAACTCATGGTTATCAATACAGTATGCTAAAAAAAAAAACAAAAAACACAATGTAATATACATTTTAGATGCTACTTGTGTCCCAGGTATTTTAATAAACATATATAATACCTCAACTTTTTTATGGCAAGGTCTCACTACATAGCCCTGACTGACCTAGAACTTGCTCTGTAGACCAGGGTGACCTCAAACTCACTGAGATCCACTTGCTCTGCCTCCTGAGTGCTGGGATTAAAGGCATGCTCCTGGTAGAACCTCAACTTTTAATTTAAAGTCTCTAAAAATCTTATGAATTATAGAGTATGATATATGATAAATGACTGTCCCATTTATTTGCTTTTGTTTGAGACAGGGTTTCATGTAATCCAGGCTTGAACTTGATACACAGCCAAGAATGACCTTGAACTCCTGATCTTCTGGAGCACTAGGATTACAAGTGTGTACCACAATTCTTGGTTTTAATTATCTCTGGGTTTTTGGGGGGAGCAGGGTAGAGGGAGGTCAGAGACAGGGTTTCTCTGTGTAGCCCTAGGTAACCTGGAGCTCACTCTGTAGACTAGGCTGGCCTCGAACTCAGAGATCCACCTGCCTCTGAGAACTGGGATTAAAGGCGTGTACACCACGCTCAGGTTTACTTTATTATTATATGTGTATGAGAGTTTTGCCTGCACGCAGGTATATGCACCCTGTGCATGCCTGGTGCCCTTAGAGGTCAGAAAAGGGAGTCAGATGCCTGGGACTGAAGTTATGGACAACTGTGAAACACCAAGTAGAAGCTGGGATTTGAACATGGGTCCTCTGCAAGAGCAACATGTCCTCTTACCTGCTGTTCTGACTCTTCAGCCCAACATTTCACCATTTAAAGTCATAGAATAATCTAACTATCCTTACAGGTTGTTTGAATGAGCTTTGGTTTATATATAACTGCTAAAGTAAGTGCTCTGTGAGCTTTTACTAGGTTTGCTGCTTAACTGATTTCCATGTGTTTTTTTTAAAAAAAGTGATACTTAACCGGGTGGTGGCGCACACCTTTAATCCCAGCACTCAGGAGGCAGAAGCAGGCAGATCTCTGAGGTCGAGGCCAGTCTGGTCAACAGAGTGAGATCCAGGACAGCCAGTGCTACACAAAGAAACCCTGTCTCAGGGGAAAAAAAAAAAAAGAGTGGTACTTATTGAAAGGAAAAGTATCTGTTCAGGACCCCAAGGCCAAGACTTCAGCAAAAAGGAGATTGATGTGCCCCAGAGGGACAAAGGACTGCCTCTGGAGACAGGAGACAGACAGGGCCTATAGGCAAATGGTGGTTTATAAACGCAAAAGTGGAAACCCAGTGTTAGGATGAGGTGTTTAATATTGATTGGGCATGTTAATTAGGTCAGCCAAAGGGGGCTTTTGATTGCTGGACTTCAATACTTCCATAGCTGGACCTTGGTAATCAGCCTCAGGAGGAGGAAGTAGCCAAATAAGGGAATAGATCTTGAGTGCCAACTTTAGGAATGTAATATAACTTTTTTTTTTTAAAGCAGGAAAGGGAGAAGGGCAAGGCTTGCCAGAGCCACGCCCAAGCTGGTCAAGTCCCTCCACTTAGCTCCCCACCATAATTTAGCTCTTCAGACCAAAGCTCGTATCGTTAGTAACTCTATTTGGGGGGACATACCTCTGTGTGAGCCTTTAACATTTACTATTTAATTACTTATCTGTATTTATGTATTTACTTATTGAGTCAAGGTCTCATGTATTCAAGGACAGCCTCAGACTACTGATGCTTGAGGATGATCTTTAATTCCTGGTCCTCCTGCCTCTATCTCCCAAGTGTTGGGATTACAGGTACGTGCCATCATACTGGTGTGTGTGGAGCTGGGGGCCAAGCCCAAGGCGCTACACATACTGGGCAGGCACTCCGCCAGCTGAGCTACCTGCCCCCTAGCCTGGCATCTGCTCTCATAATTTCATATTTAAATGCTAGTGTATAGCTTTACACCTACAGCTATGCACATGATCTGTAACACTTCAGGTAAAAGTCATAAAAAGAGGGAGACAGACTGATATTTTCAGCCCTTTGGCTTTTCTCCATACACTATAATGCAACACAATAAAAAGAAACACATTTTACCAATTGTGGATGAAATATAGTATACAGAAGAAGAACCAGTCTGAACATCGAATCTTCTACAGTATGCAATCAACAGGCCTAAAAGAAAATCCACATTATTTTCTTAAAACAGTAATAACATTACAAATTCAACTGTTATAATGGGCAAAAATACCAGTTGACTTTCACTTTCCTTTTTTGCACAGGAGCATTAAAGTTCTTAAATTATGAACCAACTTCCATATGTTGACACCATACTTTAAGCATTTCTCCTAAGCCAACATGACCTTTATTAGCTGCTCAATATTCTGTTAGAAAATATTTTTGTTTCATTAATACGTGTGTGTGTGTGTGTGTGTGTGTGTGTGTGTGTGTGTGTGTGTGTGTGTGTGTGTGTATGTGTATATATAGAGAGAAAAATGGAATTACATGAAATCTTCCCCTCTGCAAAGCAAGCTATCAATAGAATGAGGGGACACTCTATGCAATGGGAGTATCTGCAAACACATCTGATAAGGGCTAATCTCTAACATATGTGAGGATCCCAAACAAGCCAACAGTAAGAAAAAACCTAACCCAACGAGAAAATGGGCAAAGGACTACGTCAGTATTTCTTGGATTTGCCTAGTAGGCCTAAGGTCCTAACAACAAATAACAAAATATTAAAAACAGACTAGGCCTGGTGGCATAAGCTTGTAATTCAGGACTTGGGAACCGAGACAGGAGGATGAGATTGAGTCCAGCTTGGGCTACACAGCCAAAGATGTCTTAAACAAATGAACAAATCTATGCTGTGACTCAGAAATTCCACTACTGGGCAAAAATCCAAAGGAAGTGAAATTAGTATGCAAAAAAGACTTGTTCGATATTCAGAACAGCCAAGACATAAAATCAATCTCAGTGCTTATTAATGAATGACTGGATAAAGAAAATGTAGTGTGTATACAAAATCAAGGATTATTCATCCTTGAAAAAGGAAACTGGGCTGCAGGGACAGCTCCGTGCATAAAGGACTTGCTGCTCTCATTGTCCTGAGTTTGAATTCTCAGCACCAACATGTCATAGTTTAAGTTTGTGATCTCAGTACTAGGGGGAAGGAGACAGGTGAATTCCTGGATCTCAAAGGCCACCCAACCTAGCTGAACCAGCAAGCTCCATGTTCAGTGAGAAATACTATCTCAAAAAAATAAAGACTGAGTCGGAAAAATGGCTCAGCAGTTAAGAGCACTGGCTGCTCTTCCAGGGAACCTAGGGTTCAATGTCCAGCACCCACAAGGTGGCTCACAACCATCTGAAACTCCAGTCCCAGGGGATCTGATTCTCTCTCCTGACCTCCACAAGGCACTGTACGCACAAGGTACATAGACACACATGCAGGTAAAACACCCATAGACACAATAAACAAAGTAAAACACGCATTTCAGACAGCCAGGTATGGTGGTGCTCAACCTTAACCCCAGCACTCAGGAGGCAGAGGCAGGAGACTCTCTGTGAGTTCAAGGCCAGCCTGGTCTACAGAGTGAGTTCCCCAATAGCCAGAGCTATGAAGAGAAACCCTGTCTCAAAAAAAAAAAAGAATGAATGAATGAATGAATGAATGAATGAATGAAAAAGGTGGAATGTGAGGGCTATCAATCTCTGGCCTCCATACACCACACACACACACACACACACACACACACACACACACAGGTTGGGGGAAGTGAAGCAGGGAGAGAAGAGCAGAAAGAAGAGAGAAGATGACAATCCTGTCATTTGTGGTCATAGCACTGTCATCAATCTGGAGGACACTCTATGAAGCAACCAGCAGCCAGCCATAGAAAAACAAATACTATATTATCTCACTTGTAAATAAAACTTCAAAGAGTTGAACTCCCGGAAGTAGAATAGAATGGTAGGATTGAGGAGTGTTTGGGGAAGGAAATATCGATCAAAGGATGCAAAGTTCCCTCAGACAGAAATAAATTCCAACGACTCATCAAACAGCACACTGAGGGTAGTTAATAGCGATACAGTATTCTGGAAACCTGCTGAGTGGATTTCAAGTGTTCTCATGACAGACCAAAAAAAAGTAAGGTAATGCATATCAATCAGCGTGTGTGTGTGTGTGTGTGTGTGTGTGTGTGTGTGTGTGTGTGTGTGTGTGTGTGTAATATGTTGCATATAATATACAATTTTTAATTTTTAATGAATAAATACACATGGGTTTAAAAATATATTGGAAATACATAAAGAAAAGTAACTTTAAATGATATTTAGAAGAATTACTTGAGTTTGTTTGTTTGTTTGGTTTTGGTTTTTTTTTCAAGACAGGGTTTCTCTGTGTAGCCCCAGCTGTCCTGGAACTCACTCTGTAGACTAGGCTGGCCTTGAACTCACAGAGATCCACCTGTCTCTGCCTCCTTCAGCAAATCCTACCGGCGTGTACCACCCCAACCAGCATCTTAAGTTTTAATGCAAGTAATTTTATTTAAAAAACACTTATTTCATGAGTTTTAATGCTTTTCCTGCATGTATGTGTGAGCACGATGTGTGTGCCTACTGCCTATCAGAAGGGGTATTCTATCCCCTAGAACTGGAGTTACAGATTTATGAGTAACTGTGTGGGTCCTGGGATTGAACGTTAGTCCTCTGCAAGAACAAGTCCCTTAACTGCCGAGCCATCTCCCAGCCCCAATACTAAGAATTTTAAAAACAAGGACATACAAGCTCTCGTTCGTACATGCAAATATGCAGGAACAACTCAATACTCATTTTAGAAGAAATTTATTGAACATCACCAAAGAAGACCTCTCATATTATACGTATTAATTAAGTATTTTTAGATGTCCATCTCCAGTGGCTGTCCAGATGAGGCCACTTGCTTCTCCCTCTGTAAGTCCCCCATTATCTAGCCTACGTCTCACGTCTAGCATCCTAGCCTAGTCCGGCCACTCCTGTCTGTGCCGCTCCCAACCTCGAAGTTTCCAACAGGTCGCTGCCTGCCTCCAACCTACAGGCTACTGTGATCCATTTCCTAATCAATTGTCTTTTATTATAAAGCTATGTAAGCTGTGGCTCTGCTGCTTCTCCTCTTCTTCAACTCTATCTTGCTGACATTGCTAAGGCACTTCCTAAAATGTAACGACTGCTACCAAACAGGAGGGAAAGAAACTGTGTTATTATACTCAGCTTTTGGAAAGGATCGCAACATATGCTCTACTGGAGAAGATTCAATGGATTCTTGCTGTTTCAAGATACTTTTCAGCCAGCAGACATTTTACTTTGGCTGTTTTGAGTGGTGATTTCTCTCTTACCTTCAAAAGGCTTTTTTTTTAAAACCTTTGTCATTGAATCCAGTTCTAATGACAGCCAAAAAGACAAAGAGCCTTGTAACCTTTACCAGATGCTGTGAATATGACCCTTAAAACCATAAGTATAGTTTTGCTAAAATGATTGTATTCACTCACCTGGTACAATAATATCTCCAAAACCCAATATTGAAACAGGCATGAAGCATACACTCATTACTGAGTAACAGACCAGCTTTGGCACCCTGATAAGTACTGGCAACTGTAAGAAAGAGAACCAGAGAGGAGGGGGGGAGGGCGGGGAGGCAGGAGGAGAGGGAATGAGACAGGGAGAGAGAGAATGAATCAATAAAGCTCTTCCCAATCTCTCTTTCAGGAAGGGAGAGACTGACACTGTAGTAATGGTTTTAACGTTTTTAAACTGATTATTTAAAAGAAAACTTGGAATCAGATGACATAAACATATAAACATACACATACATAATACATATACACACTGTACAAAAAAACTTAAATAAGACATGTAGTTTTAGGAAATTAAATCCAACACATGGAGGATGAACGGTATTAACATACTCCCCCCCACAGCTAGCCTTATAATTTTTCTTTTCTTTTTACCAAGAATAGGACTCAGACCTTGATAGGTTTTTTTGTTTTGTTTTGTTTTGGTCAATCTGTATTTTTTTCCCACCCAAAGAGTCTCCTCTCCAAGGGTATGATTTTAAAGTCCAATGAACATATCTGAAAACAATCCTTACTTTCTCATGGGGAGCTGAGGGTTGAGCAGTGGCTTCCACAAAGTTTCCATCATTCTAGGATGAAACCCAAGTCAATAGGTATTTAATAATTTAGAATAACTAAGAAAATGGCTATATTTGTGAGAAATAAGTTTTATAATGTCTTAACATGCACCCATGACCAATGAGTTACAGTAGGAAGGCAAAATTATGAAACAGACAGGCAGACACTAAGTGGTGGCTATTGCTGCTCACATCATCCCCATCATCCCCACCTTTTCGGCATTCTCGAACGGCCCAGCAGCAAGTTCCACCATGATGCTCTCACCATTCTAAAGGGAGGAAGGAAGAGAGGTTTCCAGTCATCTAAAGAAAACAACCTGCCACCATGCAAGTAAATGATTGACAGCCCATGGCACACAGCCTGCTGCCTGCCAGCTGAACATGGGCTATCAGCTGCTGCTTCCTCAGACTAGACACAGCAGAAATTGCAGTCATCTGAAACACCACTTCACTGGAGCTCAATAATTATCATGTTGGCATATATACCAAGCACAGATTATTCAAGTGTACCTGGAGATCTCGATTATACTGACTGACATCCAGCATGTTAATAGGTTATGAACTTTAAGTATTTTAATTTTTTTTTTTACTATGTATACTATGGTTCTTAGTCATTTTCAACATCAGAAAAAAAAGAGATACAAAATCCTTTAAATTTAGCTTTCTACCAAATATAAGTAACCTTGTTTGGAAAAAAAAAATGCATTGTCCTTCTCTGTATTTACCACAGCCAGAGCTGCATAGAGAAACCCTGTCTCAAAAACAAAACAAGCTCCCCACAAAAAAAACCCCAAAAACAAATAAGATGAAGCTGGGCTCTGCCACTGAAGCCAAAGCTAGCATTGTTTCTCACACAGGAGCCCGGGACCTGAAGTACAGGGGCATCTGTGATGCACAGCATGATTTCCGGGTTAGACAGGACACTCCAAGGCTGCAGAGTTGGTGTGCTATTCTTTTAGTTCTCAGAAACGAAGGCAGCAATGACACATCCCCCTCTCTCTAAGCTGTCCACAGTCGACAGTGATTATAAGAACATTTACTTTTAAAAGGAAAGAAAAATTAGACATTCTCGCTTTATACTAATCAGAAGTTCTTTCTTTTCTCTAACAAGCAATTGAAAGCTTGAAATACCCTCTACTAAAGGGCCAATTTCAAAGGCAATTCCCTTCAGGGAATTAAAATTCACTCCAAGGTAAACAATCTGCAAAACCAACAGTCTCTGAAGAGAGTTAAAGTTCTCTTCTGGAGGATGGCAAGATGGATCAGCTTTTTTTGTTTGTTTTTGTTTTTGTTTTTCAAGACAGGGTTCCTCTGTTTAGTCCTTGCTGACCTGGAACTTACTCTGTAGACCAGGCTGGCCTTGAACTAGAGATCTACCTGCCTCCCAAGTGCTGGGATTAAAGGCATGCTATACCACTGCCCTGTTTGAGTTGGCTCAGCTTTAAGAGCACCCACTGCTCTTGCAGCGAACCTGGGTTCCTACACTCACAATGGGTAGCTTAAAAAGTCTAGAATTCGGGCCGGGCGGTGGTGGCGCACGCCTTTAATCCCAGCACTCGGGAGGCAGAGCCAGGCGGATCTCTGTGGGTTCGAGGCCAGCCTGGGCTACCAAGTGAGTTCCAGGAAAGGTGCAAAGCTACACAGAGAAACCCTGTCTCGAAAAAACCAAAAAAAAAAAAAAAAAGTCTAGAATTCGGGCCGGGCGGTGGTGGCGCACGCCTTTAATCCCAGCACTCGGGAGGCAGAGGCAGGTGGATCTCTGTGAGTTCGAGGCCAGCCTGGTCTCCAAAGCGAGTTCCAGGAAAGGTGCAAAGCTACACAAAGAAACCCTGTCTCGAAAAAACCAAAAAAAAAAAAAAAAAAAGTCTAGAATTCCAGTTTAGGGGAAAGGATGCCTTCTGCTGGCCATCATGAGCACCAGGCATGCATGGGGTACACATACATACACACAGGTACTCACATAGACATATAAGAAAAATAAACTTTAAAAAAATTAAGGAGTTGTGTGTTGCAGTACAAGGTGTAGTAACACATGCCTTTAATCTAGAGGCAGGCATATCTCTGTGAGTTCAAGGCCAGCCTGCTGTACATAGAGTTCTCTACTGGCCAGGGCTTTGCAGAGAGACCTTGTCTTAAAGCAAACAAATTTAAAAAAAGAGTTTCATCTTTTTGAATGTTTCATCATAAATTTAAAATGCACGTATGGTCATACCTTTGTGATGAATGGTGTTATGAAGACAAAAAACACATCATAGGCCAGGAGAAGGCCTAGCAGTATCACACACGACTGTTGGGGGAAAAAAAGGATTTAAAAAATATCAAAATTTCCACATCTAAACTAACACATCAAATTACTTTGCAAATACAAGTAAGCATGAACACTATTGTAAAAGGCATTTCTGGTTACTACTACGCATGATTTTATTTAATACATCGCTTAAAAATCCTTACTTCCTGTATCCCACTTCCTTAAAATTGTCATTGAATTAAAGAATGTTCTTCCCCGATATTTAGTCTTATGAATTTTTGTTAAATGAGTATGAGTGATGAAAAACATTCGGCTAGACACTCAGTAGCTGCTGCCCTTGCCTTGGGGTGAGAAGTGAGCATAGACAGGCAGGATCAGCTCTCCCAAGACTGCCGGATGGTCTGCAGCTCGTTTGGATGGAAGCTGCAAATGCTACATATACATGTGGAGCATTTCAACAGTGTGATTAAAATGAGCATGTTCTACTATATGCAAGTTATACCTCAATCACATTGTTTTAAAAAGGAAAAATTATTACAGCTGTATATTTTACCTTGAAATTGGGTAACTTCATTGTTTTAATTAAGTTGAGACAGAAAGCAATTCCTAAGATATCCTGTAAAATCCAAGCCCATCTATAATTAAAAAGAGAGAGAGAGATTAACGTATTATCCCATTCCGTTACTTTTAGATGAAAGTTAAATAAATAGATCGTTATGGTTATGCCACTCATTGGCTTATGAACTGTCCTCCTATCCTCCCTGCTCAGCAAGTTACTGCCCTGGCAGAATGATAGCTGCAAAGACCACCTCAGAATACATGTCAGATGCGAGTCCATTTTCACCTTAATCTGGGCAGATTTGCGTGTCTCCTTCTACAAAGACAGCTGCCAACAACATCCGCGTGTTCAGATCCAGACCAGCTGAGCACGAAGTTAAAGCCACACAGCTTACTTATTAGAAACTAATATGCAGCTGGGTAGTAGTGGCACACACCTTTAATCCCAGCACTTGGGAGGCAGAGGCAGGCAGATCTCAGTGAGTTTAAGGCCAGCCTGGTGTCTACACAGAGTGAGTTCCAGGACAGCCAAGGCTACATAGAGAAACTCTGGCTTAAAAAAAAAAAAGAAAGAAAGAAAGGAAAAGAAAAAAAAAAGATAACATGCATAACTAGCAACCAGTGAAAAAATTAATAACTTTGATAATTATAAAAAGATTCCTAGGTCATCAATAGTTTTATTAATAAGTCATTAAATATATGATGAATACTTTCCTCAGGTTTTCCTTCCTGCCATGGATAGATACTGCACTGGCAAGATGGTTGGGCAGGTAAAGGTACCAGTTCTCAAGCCTGATGACCTGAGATTTCTGAGACCCACTGGGTGGAAGGAGGGAACTGACTCAAGTTGTCCTCTGACTGCCACACTTACGCTGTGGCATGTACACACATGTGAGAGACATGTGCGCATACACACACTAAATGCATGTAATGAATTTTTTAAAGAGAGACACCCATATCTGTTGCTCTCAGTAAATGGACAGATATCTTGCATATCCCCTTCTTTCTAATATGAAAGGCGAAATATTCTACATATTCTTTTACATTTTGCTTTTATGGTAGTTCGTTTTGTCAATCTGACACCATCAGAATCATCTGGGAAGAGACTCTTAAAGAGGAATTGTCTGGGTTGTTACGGTGTTTGAAAGAAAATGGCTCCCAAAGGGAATGGCACTACTAGGAAGTGTAGCTTTAATGGAGTAGGTGTGGTCCTGTTGGACTTTGAGGTCTCATATATGCTCAAGATACTGCCCAGTGTCTCAGTTCACTTCCTGTTGCCTTTGAATCAAGATGTAAGGACTCTCAGCTCCAGAACCATGTCTGCCTGCATGCTGCCTTGCTTCCCGCCATGATGATAATGGACTAAACCTCTGAACTGTAAGTGAGTCACCACAATTAAATGTTTTCCAAGAGTTGGCGTGGTCATGTTGTCTCTTCACAGCAACAGAAACCCTGACTAAGACAGCTGTGTTGGCCTGTGGGCATGTCTGTGAGGCATTTTCTTAACTGGGTTAACTGAGGTGGAAATACCTGAATGTGGGAGGCACCATTCCCTGGGTTTAGGTTCTGGACTGTAGAGATGTAGACACAGGGCTGAGACAAGCAAGCACCCACACACTCACTTCTCTCTGCTCTTGGCTGTGGGTGTGATATGATCAGCTGCTTCAAGTTCTGCCGCCTCGACTTCTCAGCAATAATGGACATTATCACCCACAATTGTGACCTAAAATACCTTTCCACCCCTAAGCTGCTTTTTGGCAGGGTATTTTATCACAGTAACAGAACTGAAAATATGACAGCTTTTTCACTTAAAAATACATTCTGGAGAGCATTGCATTATCAATTCTGAGACCATTTGTTAAGATTATAAGGCATTCCAGTAACATACCATAATTAAGCATATTTTAAGTCTAAGTGTTTAAAGCATAATTCAATTTCCTTTCCTGTCCAAGTGCAGATCATTAGCCAAAGATCTATTCATTTGCTAGGTTTGGTGGCTTATGCCTGTAACCTCTGCACACAGGAGACAGAGGAAATCGGGTCACTGCAAATTCAAGGCCAGAGTGGTCTATATGGCAAGTTGAAGTTAGCAAGGGGCACATACAGAGATCCTGGTAAGTAAATTATTCCTTAAAAAAAATTAACAGCCGGGCAGTGGTGGTACATTAATCCCAGAACTTGGGAGGCAGAGCCAGGTGGATCTCTATGAGTTCGAGGCCAGCCTGGGCTACGAACTGAGTTCCAGGAAAGGCCAAAGCTACACAGAGAAACCCTGTCTCAAAAAACAAAACAAAACAAAACAAAAATTAATAGCCAGGCAGTGGTGGCACATGCCTTTAATCCCAGAACTTGGGAGGCAGAACAGGCAGATCTCTGAATTCCAGGCCAGCCTGGACTACAGAGTGAGCTCCAGGATAGCCAAGGCTATACAAAGAAACAAACAAAACAAAAAACAAAATTACCTTGTTTTAAGATATGTGTGGAATAAAAAAACAAAAATATTCTACAATAATCATAATGAATACGAGTCAGGAAAAGATGTAAAACAGTGAATCCTCAAATCCAAAATAAACTAGAGTCATCATACCTATCCTCATTTCTAAACACAGCCCACACAACAGAGACTGAGATGCACAGTCCAGAGAGGAAGACCAGGATCACTTTAATGTTTTTGCCACAACAGGAAATCCTAAAAATAAATCAAAATAGTTAATTTGTGCTATAGATAAAATATAATATTCATTTGATATTAAACATGACAAACAAGAAATGATTGAAATATTAATCTAGATGTCATGTTTTTATATAAAACCAATGAGGCATAATAACCAGTTCAACAAAACCCTTTATGGTAATGGAAATTATGTTTTCAAGCATTGATGGCCACGAGCCACATATGGCTACTGAACACTTCAAATGTATCTCAGGAATTCAACCTAAAAATCCCAAACACATTACTACCTTTAAATTTAGATAACCATAAATCTAATGTATATTGAATATACAGACTTAAAGCAACACTCAATTTTCTTGTATAAAGTTCAAATACTAATGACAGCATTCTCCAAGCGATACATACGTGCACTGTCCACATGGCATCCTATGAATCAATGCAGCAAGACAGTTGTACAAACTCATTGCCGACGCTATGCAGAAAATTGCTATCATAACGTAAACTAGAAAAGAACAAGAAAGTTATTAACTCTTTAGCTCCCTTTATTATAGCATATTTTCAATTACATTTTCAATCATATTTTCAACTATAATGTTATGTGTAGTAGTTGCTAAGCTGCAAGTATTTATAGCTTGAGTTTTAAAGTGAAGCACGTTACATGTGATTTTAGTTCCATTACACACTGCTAGAGAAGTGTTAAGTGGCTGGAGCTGGTTCTACATTTTCTATTTTTCAATAATTCAAAGTGACATGTTTTTTACAGGTTTCTGTGAAGTAAATTACAGATATTTATAAATACTTAATTTAAACGTCAGAACAGAAAGACTGATGAACTTTTGTGCATATGTGTATGTGTGTTTGTATGTATGTAGGTGCATACATACATACGTATATGTATTGGGATATGTGTAGAGGCCAGGAAACAACCATAGTTTTATTCCTCAGATGTCTTGTTTTTCTTCTGTATTTGCTTTATTTTTGAAACAGGGTGAGTCACTGGCCTGGAAGTTTGCCAAGCAGACTGCCCTGACTGGCCAGTAAGCTCCAGGGATCAATCCGCTTCTACCTACCCAGTGCTCGAATTACAGGACTATGCCACCACGTGGGGATTTTTCTGCATGGGTTCTATGATTAAACCCTGGTCTTGTTTGCATAGTAAGCATTTTACCAACTATTCCTCCAGACCATTTTTGTTTTGAGACATGTCTCAGGTAGCTCAAACTGGCCTTGAACTTGCTATGACCTTGAAAACCTTGAACTTCTGATCCTCCTGTCTCACTTCCTAAGGTCTGAGGTTACAGGTGTGCACCACCATACCCAGTATTTGACACCTGGGATTGAACCCAGGACTTTGTGCATACTAGGCAAATACTCTACTAACTGAGTTATATCCCCAGCTGAATTAAGAAACAAAAGTTTGGGGCTGAAGAGATGGCTCAGAGGTTAAGAGCACTGACTGCTCTTCCAGAGGTCCCGAGTTCAAGTCCCAGCAACCACATGGTGGCTCACAACCATCTGTAATGAGATCTGGCACCCTCTTCTGCATACATAATAATTAATTGATTAATTAATCAATTAATTAAAAAAAAGAAACAAAAATTTTTGGAACTTGCTCTGTAGACCTGCCTGGCCTGAAACTTGCTATATATACATATGTAGGCTTAAATTTGTAGAGATCTGCCTGCCTGTGCCAACCTAGTGCTGGGATTAAAGGCATGTGCCACTGGGCCTAGCTTTGAATTAATAAACTATTAAGGTTTTTTTTAGGCCGGGCAGTGGTGGTACACACCTTTAATCCCAGCACTCAGGAGGCAGAGGCAGGCGAATCTCTGAGTTCGAGGCCAGCCTAGTCTACAGAGCGAGTTCCAGGATAGGCTCCAAAAGCTACAGAGAAATCCTGTCTCAAAAAACAAAAACAGCCGGGCGGTGGTGGCGCACGCCTTTAATCCCAGCACTCGGGAGGCAGAACCAGGCGGATCTCTGTGAGTTCGAGGCCAGCCTGGGCTACCAAGTGAGTTCCAGGAAAGGCGCAAAGCTACACAGAGAAACCCTGTCTCAAAAAACCAAAAAAAAAAAAAAAAAAAAAAACAAAAACAAAAACAAAAACAAAAAACAAACCAAAATAAAAAACAAAAACAAATCCAGCCAGGCATGGTAGCCACCAGTTCAAGTCTTCCCTGGGCTGTGTAGAAAGTACTGGTTTAGCCAGAACTATACAGCAAGATGCTGCCTCAAGGGAAACACACACACACACACACACACACACACACACACACACACACACACACACGCTCAAATCCATTCAAAGAAATTTCTTTGTTGCAATAGGATACCAAGGTAGTAAAATTTAACAAGCATTCTATATTACCCAGATTTACTTGAAAATTATTTAAAGGTATTTTACCTCTCTGTTATTATAAAGGAGGTGGGGTTATTATACCTTACATTGTTTCTCTTCTGAATTTTCTAGAAAATATTGTGATAGAAAAACAAGCTGCACCTCAATTTTCAAGGTCTATTTGATTTCAGAAGACTGTAGCTCAGTGGTGGAGGTGAGAAACAGAGACTGGTCTAAGGACAGTAAATTTGGGGTGTCCAGGTTCTGAGTGAAGCTGGATGAGCCGCTCTAAGTCCCCTGGTGCTCATATCACCACATCAAGTTCATGAGAAGCACCCCGGTCTGTTGTAAGGATGAGATAAGCGAACGTATATAAAGTGCATGTGCACTGCACACACCACTTGGGATCATAGGTTATGTGTGGTAAGAGGAACAGTAAGATAGACGCTTCATGGACTGTCAACTGGATTTTGGTGTATCTTCTGCTGAGTTGCCCAACCCAGGTCTTCACAGCCTGGTAGGAAGCATGTTTCCTGAGGCCATTATGGAGCTTTAGTGCCTCATCCAATAGTGTACTACCACTTAGAAAATGATCCCACATGAAGAGGAACTTTATTATCATAACACAGTTCCAGTTAGTTTTCTTTTAAATGTAAGAAGTTTACGGGAAAGCACACTCAAGATGAACACCAGTTATTTTCCTAAGTATATCTTAATTATAGAACGGAGAGGGAAGCCTCGGCAATTCAGTACAATCCTGTCCATTATTATAATATACTAGGAAATAGCTGCCATCTTAGCCATGAAGACTCATTTTGGGTAAACAAAAATCTCGGAATACTACACAAGACATTGGCCAATCTTAATTTAGTACTATGTCCTGGGATAATTAGGAGGTTGAATGATTTTCTTCTCACATCAAAAGTTTCACTTGTAAACAAGGTAAATGTAATAAATTCAAGAAAATTTCTCATTAGAAATGAAAATATACTTTAGGGTAGGATAGATGTCCTCTTTTAAAATTATTTTTATTTTAATTATGTGTATATATGTGTACCTGCATATGGGTATGTACATGTATGTACAAGTGCTCCAAGGAGTCCAGGGGTACCGGATCTCCCTGGAGCTACAGTGACAGCTGCTTGTGAGCTGCCTGATGTGGTGCTAAGAACCACACTCGGATCCTTCACAAGAGCAGTAGTACATGCTCTTAACAGTTGAAGCATCTCGCTAGCCCCAATAATTTAGTATTTTGAGATAGGGTATTATGCACAATTCTATGGCCTAGGCTGGCCTAGAAATTACTATGTATCCCAGACTGGCCTCATGCCCACATGACTCATCGTACCTCAGCCTCTGAGGATACATATACTAGTAAGCCTGTGTGTGTGTGTGTGTGTGTGTGTGTGTGTGTGTGTAGTTATTTTTTGTTTGAATTTTAAAATATCTCAGTAATTGAAGCCTGACATTTTTTTGTACATTAAGCAAATTATTTACTTGTTTTTCAGGTGAGATTTTTTTTATTTAACACAATTTTCAGATGAATGTTTTAAAGGGAAAGACAAATCTAGCAATGTAAATTGAGTGGGGGGGATATATGTTCAATGCAGCACACATAAAACTCAGTTTCTTCTATTTTTGGTTGTGAGCCTAGCCTTTAATGGCTGAGCCATCTCTCCAGCCCTAGAAAATTTTTTTTATTCATTTTACGTACCAACCACAGATCCCCCTCTCAGCCATCCTCCTGCTCCCCTCCACCACCCTTCCCCCCACCCACCCACTCCCCATCCTGTCCTCCAAAAGGGTAAAGCCTCCTAGGGGAGTCAGCAAAGCCTGGTACATTCAGTTGAGGCAGGACCAAGCCCCTCCCCCTGCATCAAGGCTGAGCAAGGTGTCCCTCTATAGGGAATGGGCTCCAGAAAGCCAGCTCGTGCTCAGGGATAGGTCCTGATCCCACTGCCAGGAAAACCCAGTGTCTTACCAAGCCACCTGTAGAAGAAATAGAGTAGGACAATCATAACGCAGCAGATGACCACAAACACAACCACTGTCAGAGGGCTGAAAGTTAAATACTCCTCCTTCTTTTTCCTCATCTCTTTATCTTCGGCGTCTGCTGCTGTCTTCATGTTTTCCCTGCATAAACACACACGCACACACATCAGCAAGCCTTTACCAAGCGCAGTTATTTCTTAAAAACCCCTCTCTAACACCAATTTAAGTTTAATTACAAAGATAATGTACTTTAAAAAGTACCAAAAAGAGGCCGGGCGGTGGTGGCGCACGCCTTTAATCCCAGCACTCGGGAGGCAGAGCCAGGCGGATCTCTGTGAGTTCGAGGCCAGCCTGGGCTACCGAGTGAGTTCCAGGAAAGGCACAAAGCTACACAGAGAAACCCTGTCTCGAAAAACCAAAAAAAAAAAAAAAAAAAAAAAAAAGTACCAAAAAGAAATATTTAATCTAGAAACTAAAACATCCTATATCCCTACTCTTCAGAGATAATCTGTCATTACACAACTTTGAAATAAGATTTTTTTTTAATGAAAACAAAACTGTCAGAACAGTTGACATTTATTATATTAACAAATTAATGTTTGCGGGTGCTCATACAACCAAGTTTGGAGAACTATTTATGTCGACTAAATACATTTTAAGATATGAACTTATAAACAGTATTATCAACCTACATAAAGTCTAAAATTAGTTCTTCTCAAGTATCAACTTTAGATTCTCCTATGAGCAAACTCAGTGTTTACTATATGTCTATTCTGTGCTCCTGGATGCATTTGGAAGGATTTTTAAATTACCAGACACAGTCCTGTCCTACCTTTGCTACATTCCGTGAATTCTCCCAAGTATCACCTCACTAACACAGGGCAGAGATGGGGGGTGTCAGGAGAAAAGAGCAGCCATTGGCTTTGGTAAGGAGACCGCTCACTGTCTCTGCTGTCCCAACAGTCTCTTCCTAGTGACACAGAGCCGACCCCGGGTTCCCGGCCCTAGTTCCCTCCCCTCTGCCCAGTTCAGCTTCCTGTTAGGCATCTTCCGGCCCTGATCATTAAGTCTGGGCTCACTGCAGATTTCAGACTAAATACAATTTTACGTCGAAACATTTTCACATTTGCAACTGTTAACCAACACACTACTTTCCCATTGGGAAATTACAGATGACTGTCATGGTCACAAGTGTGTGGCATCTGCCACTCCAGACAAGTGGCCTGGGGACAGGGCAAAGCTGGCGCAGAGACACCAACACCTGCCCTAGAACTCCAGATCAGGACGTCGGGGCATTAACAGAAGTTTTAGTAATGTGGTACCTAAGTGGGAAAAGGCGCCAGCCTTTGGTATCTGTCACTGAAAAATAAATAAAAAATATTTACAGTAGTAGACACGCAAGCCATAATGATTCCCATATTCATATTCCACGTCTTAAAGAACATGAGCAGTCCCCCTTCTGAAACACAGTCTTGCTGTGTAGCACAAGCTGGTCCAAAACTTAATATGTAACCCAGGGCACTTTCAAAGTCATGATCCTCCTGACTCAAACTCCCGAGCAGTAGGACTACAGGTGTGCACCACCATACCTGATAGAAAGCACTTCATTTTGGGGGGGTTGGGGGGCGGGCGGTGCATTTGGGACAGGGTCATATGTAGCCCAAGCTGGTGTAGAACTCAGTATGTAGCCAAGGATGACCTCCACCAATCAAGTGCTGTGATTATTACAGGCATGAATCACCATACATGGCTTTCATAAAACCATTTCTTGAAAGGGAACAAACTGCCCGATTTATACATTACATATTACCATTAGTTGTATTCTTTCGGGAGTGCAGTGGTTCACACAACCAGGCCAAAGCTCTACCACCGAGCTATGTTCCCAGCTCAGGCTGTGAAACTGTACTCTCTGTGTGTGTATGCTGCTGTGTGTGCGTGTGCGAGTCCACACCTGCCACAATAGATGTGTGGATGTCAGACGACCTCGGGTGTGAGTCCTTGGCCCTTGTCTTCCCTGTTTGAGACAGGTCTAACCGGCCGTCGAGCTGCCACGGATCCCTATCTTGCTGCAGGAGCGCTTGGATTACAGACACACACGACTGTGTCCAGCTTTATGTGAATTCTAGGGTTTTGAACTCAGGTCTTTCACACTTGTGCAGTGAACACTTATCCACTGAGTATCTCACCAGCCTCCACAGAGTATTTGGTGTGAGGTAAGTGTTTCCCTATGAACAAATAACTCAGGTGTCTACAACTTTCCTATTTAAAAAAAAAAAAAAAAAGACAATCCTACAATCTGGTCTTAATGGCCTTCATGGCACAATATACTGAGGTGAAAAATGTAAATATTCTTGTTATTAAGATTATTATGAAACATTATGTAAAACCATTTATCAGGAAGCCATAAAAAGTTTAATTAAACTTACAATTCAATGAGTCCACTCCAGTATCCTCCTAATGCCACAGTGAACACAGCAATTACAAAAATAACCACCATAGTATAGTCAAAGTTAGGCCAGGATGGAGAATACATTTGCACGGTAATGTTATCTCCAAGAGTCTGAAGGGCAAAGTGACAAACACAGGGATGAGTCTCCTAGCAAACAGCAGCAACATCTACATTTCATCAGACAGCGGAGAAGACCAGACAACTGGAGGCTTACTCAGCCCTGCAAGCTTCTTGTTAGCAAGTGGAGGATGAGTGATAATCAAAATTAAGGATTAAACGTAAACAATTGTACCATTTATAAACATCTAATATGCAATTACTAACTTACCTGTTTCATATCTCTAAAGTCTTTTTGGCTTATAACTGCAATTAGTATAGTCATATTTTGAAATTCAGATCTGTTCCTTGAGGAAGGAAGCTATAAGAAAAAAATATGAAGCTTGATTAACTACTAATACATTTACAGAATAAAAATCATACATACTGCTATACGAAGTGCAAATATTATATCAAATCATAAAAACAAAGCTTCATTATTCATTCTTAGTAATATATGAGTTCTCAAAACAAAATCCTTTTAACATGAACTTAAACAGATATATACTATGCATCACATCATATGGGACAGACACTGTATAAACACACAGCATACGTATATATGCCTCTCAACTCTAAGACTCCAAGTCATCTCAACTCTAGAAATACAGCAAAAACGACAAATCTTTCTGATTAGAGTGTCTTATTAATAAATCTAGAATGCTTATTAATAAAATAATCCACAAGATTATTAAAAATCCGGCTTCTAGAATATACACACAGAGTTAACCCGGTTCCTGGGAGACTTGATGTTCCGGGCTCAACAGAAGGTACTCCGTTCTAGCACTTACTAGGACACTGCTGTTGGCAATCAGCAGAGCTTCAGCACCACCTTGCTGCGCAATCCTGGCCTTTTCAAGGAAATGGCAGGCTCCCCATTGAACCACCACTGCTCTGTTCTTTATGCCATCAGGAGGAATATCAGAAGGGTGGCACAGTGGCGTGCCAGTCAGATTCATCAAGCTAAGAGAAGTCTGCAAAGAAGAAAGGTTTTTAATAAGACAGATACCTTACCTCACCTAACAGCATTCAGCAATGAAACACCAACACTGACTTAGTCCAGAGTTCTTCAGGGGCTGGGATGTCACTCACTTGTTTTGCCTGAGTTAACCAACAAACCCAACTTTATGACAAATAGCAAGGACTAGAGGTATGAATTTCAAAATTCCCTAAATCTGGGGCCAGGGAGATGGTTCAGCAACTCAGAATATTGGTTGCTCTTCCAAAGAGCCCAGATCCAATTCCCAGCTCCCACATGTCAGCTCACAACCATCTGTAACTCCAGGGATCTGACATCTTGTGGCCTCTGCAGGCACCAGGCATGCATGTGATATAAAGACATACATGCAGGCAAAACACCTATATACATAAAGTAAAAATAAATAAAATTTTTTCTTTAATCATTCCCAGCACAGTGGCCAATGCCTTTAATGGTAGCAATCTAGAAGCGGAGACAAGCAGTTCTCCAAGACTTTGAGGCCAGCCTGGTTGACAATAGTGAGTTCCAGGCTAGTCAAGTCTATTTAGTGAGACCCTGTCAGGAAAAAACAAAAAATTCCCTAAATCATTTCTTTTATGGGGAGGAAAACACTTGACTAAAGTCAATGAAGTATTTTTTTAATCACCAAATACCATAACCGAGTCAGACCCTAAAATACAGTTATTATTTAGATTCAATATCATTATGAATAATTATCATGTTTTTCACTTACTGCATTTTCTAGGGAACCTGGAAGCCTTGTCCATTTGGGGTTATAATGCATGCAATAGTCCTTGGAAAGTGAAGATGTGCCATTTGCAGACGCGTGCAGGATGGCTTCCTGAGCAGCTGTCTAAGATAAAAACAACAGCTTTCGTGAGGGTGGTCATAATTAGGCTTGCCGGCAATTAAGAATCTTAGTAAAACTATTTATACGCAGGTTTGATCACATTTCCTAAAGAGGGCAAGTCCTCTGATGAGTTTATTTATTACTCTTATTTAAATAGCTCAGGAATAATGAAACTATTCACACTTGTCTAGAGCTCATTCTGTGAGGAAGATGGGTCACTTTCTTACAAGATTAACTATGACCCTTGTCTGAAGGGCCGCATCCCTGGGAGGGTTCTTGCTGTGATGTAATAATGCCACTCTGCCCTCTCAGCTTGATGCTTTCCTCCTGCTCCTTTATAAGTTATGACTTCATTGTTCACATCCATGCAGAAGGATGGGCTCAAATCCTGTTTGTTCCACCGTCAGGTTTTTACTACTACCTCTCCCTAGGGTTAAGGAGATGCAGGAATACTTCTAAGGATTATCTGCATAAGATAATCACCTTGAATTATAAAGCTTTTTCACTCAAGTCTTCAAGAGCTTTCAACTGCCTATCCAAATACACCAATGCAGAGTTTAAGAGAAAAACTGCCTACTGGGCGATGGTGACACACGTGTTTAATCCCAGCACTCCAGAGGCAGAGGCAGGTGGATCTCTGTGAGTTCGAGGCCAACCTGGGCTACAGAGCTAGACCAGCCAATGTGGTGATATATTGTATACCCTAATAAAGCTTGTGTGAGGATCAGAGGACAGAGCCAGCCACTAGATTAGACATAGAGGTCAGATAGTGGTAGCACACACTTTTTTGTTTGTTTTGTTTTTTTGAGACAGGGTTTCTCTGTGTAGCTTTACACCTTTCCTGGAACTCACTCTGTAGCCCAGGCTGGCCTCGAACTCACAGAGATCCACCTGCCTCTGCCTCCCGAGTGCTGGGATTAAAGGCAGTAGCACACACTCTTAATCCTATCACCCTGGAAGCAGAGATCCATTTGGATCTCTGTGAGTTCAAGGCCACACTGGAAACAGAGCCAGGCAGTGGCAGCACACACCTTTAATCCCAGTACCGGAAGCACACAGGCCTTTCATCCCAGGAAGTTATGTCTGGGCAGAGAAAGGTATATAAGGTATGAGGAAACAGGAACTTAATCTCTTTAGCCTGAAGATTTCATAGAGGTAAGAACTAGTGGCTGGCTGTTCTGCTTCTCTGGTCTTTCAGCTTTCACCCTGATATCTGGCTCTGGGTTTTTTATTAAAAAAAACCATCTAAGATTCTAACAACAAACCAAGGCTACACAAAGAAATCCTGTCTCAAAAAATAAAAAAGAAGAATGAAAGCCAGGCAGTGGTGGTGCATGAGAGGCAGAGGCAGGAAGATTTCTCTGAGTTCCAGGACAGCCAGGGATACATACAGAGACCCTGTCTCAAAACAAACAATCAAAAATAAATAATAAATAACATAAATGAGAGCTAGAAGGACTGGCCAGAAGGCTCAGCTGGTACCCACAATTGTCACCAAAAATGACAATCTGAGTTTGATCCCAGGACCCACATGGAGGAGGGAGAGAAATGACTCCCATGAGTTGTCCTTGAGCATGACACATATGCCCTGGCATACATGCCCCCCCATAAAGAAATAAGACAATAAAAAATAACTTAAAAAAGAGTTAGAATACTTTCCTTTTGTCTTATTTCTCATTGCCTAGAAAGACAGGGAAAAGGGACAGAGTGATGGAAAACAATAATAAGAAAAGGTGGGGGGGGGCAGGAGGCATACAGAGACATCCTCAAATGTTTAGAATATTGCTCCCATCACCCACCTCCTTCAATATGGGTTCTTCCCGTATTGTGAACACATTTATCTCTAAATCCACAAGGAAGAAGAGGTCCAGGGAGATGGGCCAGCAGGTGAAAACACAAGCAACCAAGCCTAATGACATGCACTCCATACCTGGGCCCCACATGGAAACCATGACGGAGAACAAAGCCCTGCAAGGTGAACTCTTGACTTCCACCATGGGCCGTGGCACAGGAGGGCACGTGTGCACAGATACACACAAGCACACACAAAATAAACAAAACGCAGAAGCCTTGGCAGCTAAAGCATATGTTCAGTTGGTTTTTGAGACAGGGTTTCTTTCTCTGTGTAACCCTGGCTGGAACTCTTTGTAGACCAGGCTGACCTCGAACTCACTGAGTTCCACCTGCCTCTGCCTCTCAAATGCTGGCATCAAAGGCGTGTGCCGCCACCACCCGGCTTCATTCTTCTTTTTAAGGTGACTTCTCAGGCATTCTGTCATAGTGACAGAAAGCTAATGAACACAGAAAACTGGTACCATGAAGGAAGATCGTTGCTTATGACTATAGCTGATGCTACGGCTCATAAGCCGCTGACATTAGTTTGCAGGAGAAGTCTGGAAGTTTGGAGGAGCAGGCTAGAGAAAGCCTACAATGCTGTAAAAAGAGCTTAACGGGGCCATTCTGCGGAAAGAACAGGAGAACAGAATGCTGACAGCAACGTAGACAGTAAAAAGGCAGGCTCATGAACTACAGATGGAATGATGACTGTTTGGAATCAGGCTAAAAGCAATGCATGGTACATGCTGGCAAAGAATTTGTCTTCCTTTTGTCCAACCTCTGACTCTGTGGGAAGCTGAGTTTAAAGGACTAACCTGAAAGAGGTAGCAGGACATTCAAACTTTATCACACAGGTATTCCTGGATGCTTTTAGTTAAGACTTACAATGAGAATCAGGAGCAAAACCACAACAAAAGTAGTTGGAAACCTTGCAGTTTGTCCAGAAAAGGGACATGTTTAAAGTTGCAACCATGGAAATATATCACTAACCCACCCCCAACCATTAAAGAAAAATACCCTTATTCCTCAGAAGGCTAGGGACGAAGCTCAGTTGGTAGGGCGCTCGTCTACCATTCATGAAGCCTTGGGTTTGAGCTTGGTGGTCCACGCCTGTAATCCCTGCACTCAGGACAATCAGAAGTTCAAGGTCATTCTTGGGTAGCTCAAGGTCAGCCTAGGCTACACAAGACCCTGTTTCAGAAAAAAAGGCAGGGGTGGGGTGGGGCAAGTACTTACACCAGGGCAGTACTTAAAGATAGCTTGCTAAATATGTAACCCATTACCCTATGTATCTACGCCACTAGATCTTCCAAGTTCTCCACTAACAACCACAATGTGGGTTAGCAATCCTTTTTGTTGGTTTTGTGTTTTCAAGACAAGGTTTCTGTGTAGCCTTGACTGTCCTGGAACTCACTCTGCACACCAGGCTGGCCTCAAACTCACAGAGATCTGCCTGCCTCTGCCACCAGAGTGTTGGGAGAGGCATGTGCCACCACCACCTGACAATGTGGTTTATCAAGAGTTGATGTATTACGGTGCTAAATGCTGATTTATCTTGAGAAAGGATTACTAAGATATAAGTATGTAAACAGTTTTTCTTAATCATCTTGAGAGGTTCAATGAAATGAATGCTAAGTTTAACATAAATTATAGATTCAGGATATTTACATACCCTCTGAGTTGTTCTTTGGGACTTACAAGTCACTTGTCTGATTACTCAGTACACACCTTAAAGACACAAAGTAATGCTACTGTGTTGCTATTCTCCCCTCAAAATACTTCTTGTATTAGTTCTCTCCAGTACGATCTTAATGCTGTCCAGCAAAGTTCCGAAAACACCAAAGGCTATTTTTTTTTTTTTTTAAAAAACAGTTTTGAGCTTAGACTTTTTCGCTGACCCTTTAAAGCAAGAGTAATAAAACAGTCTTCTCCAGAGAAGTTAGTTTCTCCGGGAAATGACTACATACACTGTTTACACAACCGTGTGCAAACAACACTGATAAATGTTTCCAACCCGAAACTTCAGAAAGTGAACAGAAACAAAATCTGAATTACTGAAAGCTAGCTTCTTGGTCACCAATTAGAACTCAAATTACTTGATGCTGAACTTTAAAACATTATTGTTGCAAATATGGGTATGTGTGCACCTATCTTTTATTTTTTCTTAACTAGACTTCTACCCCTTTAGACTTCAAACTAAAAACCTCCAAGGCCACTTTCATACTTTCTTTTTAAAGGGGTTTTAAAGTATCCCTATAAGAAAACAAAAGCACAAAATAAATCCCCACAGTATAATCACACGCACCTTACAGAGACAGAACTGTACGGGAATGGAAGGAAAGCATACAGATATTCATATGGTTATAGAGAGAAATACGTATGTGAGCGCAGTTAACTAAAGAGCACTCCAGAACGCTAACACCTGGAACCCAGTCCGTCCCTGCCCCCCCCAACCCCCGCTTTTTTTTTTTTTTTTCTGGGTAAAAAGCAGCTGTAAGAAGGGCTACCCAATAAAACAGAAGTGAATTTTTTCAATTAAAAAGGAAACGTGCCAGCACGCTGAAAAATTAGAGAGAGAGCTTCAGGACCAAGGTGAAAGAAGCCCCTCCAGCCCGCGGGTTTCTTCCGGGGTGGGTATTTCGCAGGATTTCTGGGCACAGCGGGGTGAGGAATGCTGGGACCCGCGGGTGTGCACAGTAGGAGGGCCGGAGCGGGGGTGGAGGGGTGGGGGTTGGATGGAGGGCAGGAGAGGGGGGAGGGGAAGCGGAGGAGGGAGGGGAAAGGGAGAGGAGAAGGGGAGGGGAGAACGGAGGGGAGGGGAGGGGAGTGCGGCTCTCACCAGTCCCAGCAGGCAGCTCCAGAGCAGGACGGCCGCGGGAGCGTGCAGCGAGTGCAGCGAGTGCAGCAGCCCCATCCCGCGGGCGGGCAGCGGGGCGCGGGCAGCGCTGGCGGTACCCGGACCTCCGAGATGCAGCCCCGACTTCCTCTTCCGGCCCCTCCCGCCGAGCGCTGGGCTGGGACACTGGGCGGACGGTCGGCTCCGGGCTCAGATCCTGGAACAGCCTTTTTAACTGCGTAAATCCCCGGTTCCCGTTCGGTTCCCTCTGACTGCGGCCGCCGCCCATTGCGAGCCACTGAAGCTTCGGGTTTCAGTTTCCCTTCCGGCCTCTGCCACGTCGCCGACTCGAGCGACCTTCCCTTCGTAAAGATGCCAACCAGACAGGGCCCCTCTCCGCGCTTGAAGCACAGACCAAAACTTATCTGCTGCAAAGTTTACGTCATCTCACCCCTGTCATCTCTGTCCTTAGCTTCTCTATTTTCCTACGCGTTGAGACCCACCGACCTTAGCAGCTTACATGTCACTTCCCTTGGGAGTAGCCCTCTATTCACTTTCATACTGTGATTCTCTCTCTCTCTCTCTCTCTCTCTCTCTCTCTCTCTCTCTCTCTCTCTCTCTCTCTCTCTCTCTCTCTCTCTCTCTCTCTCTCTCTCTCTCCTTTTTTGAGACAGGGTTTCTCTGTTTAACAGGCTGGCCTCGAAAATACAGATTCACCTGCCCGTGCCTCCCGAGTGCTGAGATTAAAGGAGTGCACCGCCACCGCCCCGGCTATTTGTTCTCTTCATAGCTTTTGTTTTTGTTTTGCTTCACTGAGACCGGGTATATCTACACATCCTTGACTACTGCTGCCCTGGAACTCACATATAGACGCCTAGAACTCAGAGATCTGCCTGCTTCTGCCTCTCAGGCGCTGAGATTAAAGACATAAGCCACCGTACCTGACTTTTTTTATACTCATTTATCTATGTTATTTCACATGCTGCTCTCCAGTTAATGGCAGGGAAGCGTCCCTCTTTGCTTTGTTGACCACTTTGTCCGTACACATAAAATATTCAGCGTATACTAGGTCGTCAAATATTTGTTGGACGACTGTGTAATACCAAACACTGAATAGGACAGTGTTCCTGCTACCCTAGGGGAGGCACATAGCAAGGGGCACATAGCAAACACTGTCAAGGTAAACAGGTACTTTTAAAACATTGCTATACACGGATCAAAGGGAGGTAAAAATAGGCGCCCGAGAAAAACACCAGCCTCAGCCGACTGTAGCCAACTATTAATTTCTATGTAAGTTACTTTCAGCGAGGCAAAGGAAGAGGGAAGCCACTTCCACGAAGGAAGCATTAGTCTCGAAGCCAAGGGAGGCACTGGCAGAACTACAGAACTCGACTGAAGTTAGGAGTGGTGGAAGGTGAAATGTGAGAAGAGGCAGAGTGTGAAACATAAATGAGTTGGATAGCTTGGAATTTGAGACTCTCCTCTGGGTGGTGGGGATTCGTGAAGAGTAAATAGAGCCATGCCGTGACACACAGTTTCTGTTGGGGGAGCTCTCTAGGACGGGTGGGGTCACAAATAGATTGAAGCTGGGCCCAAGTAGAAGCCAGGGGACAGACCCAGGCGGAGCAGGGTGGGGGATGTCTGCTCTGAGACAGTGTGCCAGAAGAAATGGGAGGAGAGAGATGGGCCGGAAAGAGTTGTACCAGATTTGCTTAGCTGAGAAGGAGGCGGGAGGAGAGGACTGATTTCCCAGGATCCTCCCCTGGGCCCTTGACTGCGATGGATAGATGATGCAGGAGAGGGAGAGTGGACATGCGTGTGAAACGCTGGGGACACGGAATTGTGAATGTATGTAGGTGGGTGGGGATGGTAGGGGCACAGTGAAGTGATACCCTGACTGAGCTCATACTTTCTTCCTGCCGAGGGAAACCAGGGTTCCCCCTAGTAAAATGGCTACGATGGGCCAGATGACTTCATCTCCGAATATTCTGGAGTATTTATTCTTGTGCTCCTTTGCCTAGTGAGTCTCAGAAGTGCTTACCGGAGCTGTCTGAAGAGCTCTGGTTTTTTTGGCCGACATTATTATCCCCCTTCTCGGGAAAAATTGTGCTTGTCTGTGGTATAGTTCCTTGTACATTCTCAATTTCTCTGTGCAATTGTTTTTTAAATTAAAAAAATTCCTTATTATTATTTTGTGTTTCTGGATGATGTGCGTGCATGGTCAGAAGACACACGGAGGCAGATCTTTCTGTCCGCTTCTACGTGGGTCCTGGGGATGGACCTCACATCGGCAGGCTTGTACCGCAAGCACCCTTACCCACTGAGCTACCCAGTCGGCCTTATGTAGGTTTTTGAGTTTAAAAACTGTTAAAGGTCATGACTGCTCTGCCTTCTTCACACAGTCGTAAAAATGTCATGATTTCTTATGTGAATAATGTTTCTCTGAAAGTTGAAAGGAGGAAGATCCGGAAGAAAAGTAGAAGTGTGTGGTCTCGCCTGTCAGCACGTTTCTTTCTAATCCTTCTGCCAAGATGCTTCCTCTTCATTCACAGTCCCTGCAAAGTGAAGGAAAAAAGAAATGTGAACGGGAGAGTAAAGGACTCTTGTTTAATGCCCCAATTTCTGGAAAAACTGAATGTTTCTTTAAATACATCTGTGTGGCACATACTTTTGCCTGTATATTTTAGAGAGGGGAAGGGTACTGGACATTTTTGGTAAATGTTTTTCTTCTCTGCAGAAACTATGTGTAAATACCCAACAATAGAAAATAAGTGTCATTAGATTGAAGATCAACTTGGTTTATAAATATGTTTGGTGCATAGAAATCCTTTCAATGATAAAGATATTATTTGCTGTTAGAACCTACCTATGTTCTAGGGAATGGGTAGGAAACATGGGTTTTATTTTACAAAGGAAGAAATTGCCAGATTTATGTCAAAAGAGAAGCTGAAACCCACTGTCTTGACCCTCGCACTACCTTGGGACAGGTAGGACACATGGGGGATACTGATGACATGTGGTGGGGACGATTACAGAGCTGGTTAGTAACAAGCCTAAGCCATAGGCTGAGCATTTATAACTAATATTAAGTCTCTGTGTGGCTACTTGGGAGCAGCTTGAGGGACAGAAACTTCCGCCTATAGTGAAGAGTCTGTTTTGCTTTGCTTTTTCTAGACAGGGTTTCACTGTGTAACAGCCCTGTCTGTCCTGGAACTCCCTCTATAGACCATGTTGGCCTTGAACTCACACAGATCCACCTGCCTCTGCCTCCTGAGTGCTGGGATTAAAGGCCTGCACTACCAGTGCCGAGCTGTGAAAAGTCTTAATAGCTTTTTGTTAGATAAAGACTTTTAAGCCGGGCGATGGTGGAGCATGCCTTTAATCCCAGCACTCGGGAGGCAGAGCCAGGTGGATCTCTGTGAGTTCGAGGCCAGCCTGGGCTACCAAGTGAGTTCCAGGAAAGGTGAAAAGCTACACAGAGAAACCCTGTCTCAAAAAACCAAAAAAAAAAAAAAAGATAAAGACTTTTAAACTAGGACAGTGAGCGGGAAAACTATACAACAATAAAATCAGTAAATTGACTTCACCAAAATAAAAACTTGTGTTCTTTGGAAGATATTCTTTTTCCAAAAAATATTTTATATATATTTTGTGTGTGTGTGTGTGTGTGTGTGTGTGTGTGTGTGTGGGTGCGTGTGCGTGCATCTATACGAGCTTATGTATACCATGTGTGCAAAGGTGCCCACAGGATTCAGAAGAGGGCATCAGACCCCCAGAACTGGAGTTATAGGTGATTGTGAGCTTCCATGTGGGTGCTGGGAATTGAACCCAGATCCTCTGTCAGAGCAGCCAGTGCTGTTAACCACTGAACCATCTCCTCAGCCCCGGAAGACATTCTTAAAGGAATGAAGACTACTCTAGATTGGGAGAAGACAGTTGTAAAATGTATACAACAATAATAACCATAAAAAATTGTCAGTCAGTGGTGGCACACACCTTTAATCCCAGAACTTGGGAGGCAGAGGCAGGAGGATCTCTGTGAGTTCCAGACCAGCCTGATCTACAGAGCAAATTACAGGACAGTCAGGGCTACACAGAGAAACCCTGTCTCAAAAAAAACAAAACAAAAACAAAAAAGCCTGTGACAGGAGGCTCCTTTGCCTGTAATGTCTTCTATGTTCATCCATGAGGTAAACGACAGAATTTCCTCTTTGTAAAGGCCGAGTCAATTTTTGTTGTGTGTGTATTGTATTATCCACTGATTTGTTATATACACATCGTTTCTCTTTGTTTATGTAGATGCATAATACATAATTTTAAATCCAGGTTTCATATAAGCAAGCAGTATTTGTCTTTCTGCATCTGGCTTACTTCACTTAGTATAATCATTTCCAGCTGTATCCATTTGTCTGCAAATGAATGATTTTATAATGCATAGAATTCCATTGTGTATATGTATCACATATTCTTATTCTGTTCATCCTTTGATGAATACCTAGGCTGGCTCCATTTCTGGCTGTGTAGTTAGTGGTATGTTGACTTAGACTCCCTTGGGCATATGCCCCAGTATGGTATACCTAGATAATATAATAGACCCACTTTCAGTTTTTCAAGTAACATCACTCCTGACTTCAATGGTGGATATACAATTTTACATTCCTACCAATAATGAATAACGATTCATCTTCCCCCAACCCCAGCATTTGCTACTGTTTGTTTTCTTGATGATGTCCATTCTGACTGGGATGAAACAGAATCTTTGAGACAGAGTCTCATTCTGTATCTCTGGCTGTCATGGAGCTCACTATGTAGAGCAGACCAGCCTTGAACTCACAGAAGCCTACTTGCCTCTGCCTCCTGAGTGCTGGGATTAGAAGCATGAGCCACAATGCCTAGCTGAAATAGAATCTCAAAGAAGTTTTAATTTGCATTTCCTTGATGCCTTGGGATGTTGAACACTTTCAAATATCCATTGGCTATTTGTATTTCTTCTTTAGAGAACTGTCTGTTTGCTTAATTAGCCCAGTCATTCATTATATAATCTGGTTTTTAGTATTTAACTTTTACAGTTCTTTATACATCCTGAATATTAATTCCCTGTCTGATGTAGAGTTGGCAAAGATTTTTTCCCACCCTTGTAGGGACTGTGGTATAGGCTGTGTACTCACTCTGTTGGCTGTTTCCTTTGCTGTGGAGAATTCTCTTAAATTCCTGTAATCCCTTTAGTCAATTCTTCAGATTATTTCCTGTTTTACTGGAGTCCTATCCAGAAAATTCATGCCTATGCTGTTACAGACACTTTGGTTGTTTCCAGTTCTTGGCTATTGAGAATACTTCAAAGAAAATGGGAGTACAAACGTCTCTTTGATACACTGATTTCAACTTGGCTCTATGCCCAGACCTGGGGTGGCTGAATCTCCCCAGCTGCCCTTTAGTGACTGTGTTCTTGGGGTTATGCATGTTTGTATTTATATCTGAATACAACTTTCATGAGACAAAGCAAAATGTTACTATTTCAGTGATTATTTAGCACTCAGACTCAGTAATTGTCTTGCTGATGGGTGAAATAGCAACTCCGAGTTTCCTGGCACCTCTTCGTGGCA